AGAAGTCGTTACAAACACAAGCAGTCGTTACAAACAACAAGCATTCGTTACAAACACAAGCAGTCGTTACAAACACAAGCAGTCGTTACAAACACAAGCAGTCGTTACAAACACAAGCAGTCGTTACAAACAACAAGCAGTCGTTACAAACACAAGCAGTCGTTACAAACACAAGCAGTCGTTACAAACACAAGCAGACGTTACAAACACAAGCAGACGTAACAAACACAAGCAATCGTGATGAACACAAAAAGTCGTGATGAGGACAAAAAGTCGTGACGAGCACAAAAAGTCGTGACGAACACAAAAAGTCGTGAAAAACACAAACAGTAGTGAAAAACACCAAAAAAAGTCGTGACGAACATAATGAAAATGTGACATCTTGAGGGAAAACTCACAACACTGGAGTTGAGTAGAAGACATGATCTAAAGAGACTTTAAGTTAGTACTGTTCAGTACATGTCATGTTCATGTTTGGACCTTTTACCATTTAGTGTCTAGCGTTTTATTAAATATTGACTCTATTTTCACGGATCAATAAGTTTATTAACACGAGGAATAGTCGAAGGTCTAAACAAACATTACAAAAATAATAACAAAATTAACACGGCAGAAAGATACGATGCGTCTTCAGGTAAAATTGGTTTAGACTGACTGTGAGTGATGTGAGTGATGTGAGTGTTGTGAGTGATTGAGTGATATGAATTATGTTTAGTGGTCCCTAGTAATACCAGATCTTCATGTATTTCTGATGTGAGTGATCCTAGATATACTTGGGCCTAGTCAATGTATTTCTATCATAGTTAATGTATTTCTAGCACAGTAAATGTATTTCTAGCACAGTAAATGTATTTCTAGCACAGTAAATGTATTTCTAGCACAGTAAATGTATTTCTAGCACAGTAAATGTATTTCTAGCACAGTAAATGTATTTCTAGCACAGTAAATGTATTTCTAGCACAGTAATACCCCTTTTAGCCCAAATGTAGTTCCTCACCATTTCTGTTTACTTCAGCGGGGCACATTGCGTAGAGTTTCCAGCGCATTAAATGACTTGCTCGGGCTAAAGTTGACATTTCATAATAGTTTGTTAACATTTCAGCCGTCAGTTGTGATCGGCGCCATGCCATTCAGCTGACAACACTGCCAGCCAAGCCGTAGTGTTGACTCATCAGACAAAAGAAACATTCAATCGAATGACAGGCGAAAAAGGGGGAGATCATTCTTCTTTGACTTTATCGCCGTTCAACAAGTTTTGGAAAATTCTTTTAACGGATGATTAGTCCTCAATTTAAAAAAAAAAAGTGTTGAATAGCTTTATAAAATGAATAGACTAATAAATCTATAAAAAGTGTAAGTCTTATTTATTGCAGTGGAAGTCCCAAGAGCAGGGCTCAAGTACTGAATGGGAGTTGGTGCGATCTTTGGTGAGTTGACCCTTGACCCTGCCCCACTAATGTCTATAGGTTCATTGTTAAACTCTCATGCAGGACCCATTGTATGTCAGGACCAAGTTTAGGGACCCTCAAACGATTTTACCATTTTTCGCTCCCCCCCATCCCCCCACACACACTTTTCAAATTTTTTTTCCTAACTTATATATTCAATAACATGAAACGCAATTACTTTATTTTTTCAATGATTAAAATTATTTTCAAAATATGTTGTATTTTGTTGCTTATACTGTTTGTTTGTTGTTGCACATATATGGTCAGCCTCTCCATTTTCATGTGTTCACCATTATTGTCCATGGTAAGTCCAGCAATAGAAATGTCCTTGCCCCCCACCCCCCCCCCACACACACACACTTTTTCTCCCTACACCTATCAGTTACCTAAACTGTGCTAATTTGATACAGTGGTTCATCCAACCCTGTGCTTATTTGATACAGTGGTTCATCCAACCCTGTAATTATTTGATACAGTGGTTCATCCAACCCTGTGCTTATTTGATACAGTGTTTCATCCAACCCTGTGCTTATTTGATACAGTGCTTCATCTAACCCTGTGCTTATTTGATACAGTGCTTCATCCAACCCTGTGCTTATTTGATACAGTGGTTCATCCAACCCTGTGCTTATTTGATACAGTGGTTCATCCAACCCTGTGCTTATTTGATACAGTGGTTCATCCAACCCTGTGCTTATTTGATACAGTGCTTCATCCAACCCTGTGCTTATTTGTTACAGTGCTTCATCCAACCCTGTGCTTATTTGTTACAGTGCTTCATCCAACCCTGTGCTTATTTGATACAGTGCTTCATCCAACCCTGTGCTTATTTGATACAGTGCTTCATCCAACCCTGTGCTTATTTGTTACAGTGGTTCATCCAAACCTGTGCTTATTTGTTACAGTGTTTCTTCCAAGCATGTGGTTTGTAGGCACTTTGAAAAATTTTTTGTCAAGTGATGTTTAATATAATCTTCATTTTAATGCTAACAAGCAACGGTATATTAGAAAACTCTTGACGTTCACACCTCGGTGTAATATGGCCCAAACATGTGTTAGGACGGGAGTAGGAAGAGAGGGGGGCGTCGTAGGGGTGGGGCGTCATAGGGGGCGTCGTAGGTTGCGTCGTAGCGGGGCGTCGTAGGGGGGCGTCGTAGGGGGGCGTCGTAGCGGGGCGTCGTAGGGGGCGTCGTGGGGAGTGGGAGTAGGAAGAGAGGGGGGCGTCGTAGGGGTGGGGCGTCATAGGGGGCGTCGTAGGTTGCGTCGTAGCGGGGCGTCGTAGGGGGGCGTCGTAGGGGAGCGTCGTAGCGGGGCGTCGTAGGGGGCGTCGTAGGGAGGTGTCGTAGGGGGGCGTCGTGAAGGGGTGGTCCGCCGGGTGGCATGTATTTTGGGGCGGCATTTTCAGTCCATGCTTTACATAGATTTTTTTTTAAAACTGAATTCTTTATGTATATAGTGTTGTCTTTTTCGATAGTAAGGTGTGGCAAAATCAAGGACCACCCCGGATATTGCAAATTCTAGGCACCCTACTGTGTACTGTTAGGCCATTCATTCGTTAATTCCTTTGCAATATCAAAGGCCAGTCTATGCATTGACCTCCCGACCCATCCTGTCATAGGCCAGTCTATGCATTGACCTCCCGACCCATCCTGTCATAGGCCAGTCTATGCATTGACCTCCCGACCCATCCTGTCATAGGCCAGTCTATGCATTGACCTCCCGACCCATTCTGCCAGTCTATGCATTGACCACCCAGACCCATTCTGCCAGTCTATGCATTGACCACCCAGACCCATTCTGCCAGTCTATGCATTGACCACCCAGACCCATTCTGCCAGTCTATGCATTGACCACCCAGACCCATTCTGCCAGTCTATGCATCCCACCGCTCCGAACTTTCCTGTCATTGCGAGTAGTGCTCCCCCTTTAACAAGATTAAGTTGTGTTTAAGAAATGGCGTCAGCTGGCCGTCGAGCTTGTGCTCTTTATGCCCTCCCCAAAACACCCTTCCCCAACCCGGTATCGGGCCGCGGAGCGGCACGTCGGGGATGTCCCTTTGTCAGGACGGCCCCCACCCGAGTCTGCTCGACCAGGGTCTCCGCCGGGGGCCGTCCTAACCCAAAGACACCCGGTCGGTCCGACACTGTGTTTGCACACAGTGCACACGATCGACTTTCTCAGGAGTCGGGATGGAAAAACTTACGTCCCACTCACTTCCCACCATATTCACTGGACAGCTACAAGCATGTCTTCCACAACAACCATCCAGTCTCACTACAGCTAATCTTTTTTTTTTGGGGTGTTATTTGTTTTATACAAAGTATTAGAATATAAGTCATGTTAATTGTGATACATGGCACGTACAACATTCACAGTTTGATAAGTTGCGATGGGCGGATAACTCTCAGTAATGGAATATATCATTAAATGTAAGCACAGCCGTGGCGTGGGGTCCTTCCACCCCACTGCGGCTGCATGGAAATTCGGATATTTAAGAGGCCCAAGTGGTGTGTGCGTGTGTGTGTGGGGGGGGGGGGGGGCCAAACAACTTTCAAGNCTACAAACTTAGTTAAAGATCATGGAACCTACCAACTTGGTTAAAGATCATGCGTCCTACCAACGTTGTTAAAGATCATGCGACCTACCAAATTGGTTAAAGATCATGCGACCATCAACTTGGTTAAAGATCATGCGACCTACCAACTTAGTTAAAGATCATGGAACCTACCAACTTGGTTAAAGATCATGCGTCCTACCAACGTTGTTAAAGATCATGCGACCTACCAAATTGGTTAAAGATCATGCGACCATCAACTTGGTTAAAGATCATGCGACCTACCAACTTAGTTAAAGATCATGGAACCTACCAACTTGGTTAAAGATCATGCGTCCTACCAACGTTGTTAAAGATCATGCGACCTACCAAATTGGTTAAAGATCATGCGACCATCAACTTGGTTAAAGATCATGCGACCTACCAACTTAGTTAAGAATCATGCGACCTACCATTTTCGTTAGGGATCATGTGACCCACAAACTTAGTTAAAGATCATGCGCTGGATTAAAATTGGGAGCTGTAGGTAGGTTATCTGGGAGCTGTAGGTAGGTTATCTGGGAGCTGTAGGTAGGTTATCTGGGAGCTGTAGGTAGGTGATCAGGGAGCTGTAGGTAGGTGATCTGGGAGCTGTAGGTAGGTTATCTGGGAGCTGTAGGTAGGTGATCAGGGAGCTGTAGGTAGGTGATCTGGGAGCTGTAGGTAGGTTATCTGGGAGCTGTAGGTAGGTGATCTGGGAGCTGTAGGTAGGTTATCTGGGAGCTGTAGGTAGGTTATCTGGGAGCTGTAGGTAGGTGATCTGGGAGCTGTAGGTAGGTTATCTGGGAGCTGTAGGTAGGTTATCTGGGAGCTGTAGGTAGGTTATCTGGGAGCTGTAGGTAGGTTATCTGGGAGCTGTAGGTAGGTTATCTGGGAGCTGTAGGTAGGTTATCTGGGAGCTGTAGGTAGGTTATCTGGGAGCTGTAGGTAGGTTATCTGGGAGCTGTAGGTAGGTTATCTGGGAGCTGTAGGTAGGTTATCTGGGAGCTGTAGGTAGGTTATCTGGGAGCTGTAGGTAGGTTATCTGGGAGCTGTAGGTAGGTTATCTGGGAGCTGTAGGTAGGTTATCTGGGAGCTGTAGGTAGGTTATCTGGGAGCTGTAGGTAGGTTATCACCTTTAAAGATGTTCAGTGACCCACTGTCTCCAAATTTTAAATACATTATTTCAAATATCTGTAGCGTGGAGTCACTAAATTTTAGAAGATTACATTTGTACATTTCCTGTAGTACGCTTTAAATCAGAGATGCTACCAACTGCATTGGGATTACCTAAAAATGTTCAGACACACATAAACTATACCATATGACATTTTTAGCATAACATATTCCTTCATTTTCAATGTGCTGAAATTCAAGCCAAAAAATGGCCACCAGCCACCAGTAGAATAAACCTAATACATGGGTCATGGGTCTAGAATTCGTCTTTAAAAACTTTAATGTTCAAGGACTCCAATCTTGCTATCACTGAGCCCCTTGCACACCAGTGAAAGATCCTCTTCAACACCAGGCACAGAAACATTGCGAATCCCACTCTACATACAAGGGGGCCAGAATGGTCCCTAGATTGGTCGTGGGCCCTTAAGATATAGAAGAATGCAAACATAACTATATTTTGCTTTGTAAGAAGCTCTGAAACAGTTTAACAGGATGACTGGTAATCGCTCGGGAGAAGACAATGAGTGTGCCCCCTGACTTGATCAAGTTTCTTACTGTAAGAAATTGGGGGTCAACATTAAAGCAAAATAAAATAGTTTGCTGTAAATATTTAAAACTGCTGATGTTTTTAACCAGTGCTAGATGGTGCTAGATGTATTTTTGTAATAATTTTTTAATCCAATCTATTTTTATTTGCTACCAGTTGACAAATGTAAAAAATAATTCTCCTGAAACATATTTCAAGAATCTAAAAACTATGGGATTCTGAACTAAATAAAAATAGACTCTCAGGTAAAAAATGTTCCTCGGTCTAAGGGAGATAATGTACATTTGCTTGTTACAGCCGTATTAAAACCTTTTCATCTTGCACACTAGAAGATAAAAAGACTCCAGGACACAACAGTCACATCTTAGTAGAAGAATATAGCATGTTATGTGATGAGCGGCTTAGAAGGAAATCATTATTACATTGCATCAAGATTGGTTATATTTTTCCCATCCTAAGTTCTAAGTAAAATTCCAACAAATACTTTTTTTTATTTTTATTTTTAACTTTTCATTTTTTTCATTTATTTTAAAATCTTGCAAATCACATGCACATGTGGTGTGTGTCATGACACATCTTGAAACCTTGGTGGTGATGTGAGCCACTTGTTGAAAATTGCTGCCTTTTATAATGCTCTCCTTGCTACTAATGTTGATTTCTGTAAAGCAACCAAATCCAGATTTTTCTGTCCAAAAGATTCTTGTAAAAATTAAATATGCAGTTTTAAAAAAAGATTGGAAGTCAAAAGCTTAGACTGATGCATCCTCAAACTTGAAAGTGTGCAGTTGGTCACGGCGAGGTTTCATGGGAGGTGTGGCCTTTCTGATGAGCTGACGAGCATAGTCTGAGTTATGGAGGCCCGCCTCCCTCAACTTCTGCTCAAGTCTGACTCTGTGATCTGAAGTTATCTGATGAATATGCAGAATGATCATTTGAATAGCAATATATACTCAATTTATTTCAACTACATTATAAGTTGATGAAATGCCCAGAATATTTTTTTTTCCTAAATTCACAATTAATTATTTTTAGCTAAGAAAAGTCTTGTCTTTAAAGAAGCAAAAGGACCAACAGTTCAAATTCATATTCATTGAAATGTGTTTGAAAATGGGGGCACTCAAATGAAATAATTACCAGTATGCCTCAAGGCATCAATTTTAATTCATTATAAACATTTGGGTCCATAGATAAATACCAACCTAGTGAAATTAGAACAACACAGCTCTAAACTTCATCTCAGATGCATCAAGCTTTAATCTAAAAACTAATTTTATGATGGGTACGAATTTTACGACACCAGACTGCCAACCTTAACAAGCGTAACATATTTTTTTTTACCTGTTTTGAAGTGTAGCTGTTCACCTTAAATAGTGGCTCAAGTAAAGAAATGTTTTTGTCTTCCTCAGGCTTAAGTCTGGCCTCCCAAGCCTGTTGAGGAATTCAGACGATGGTGCATATTTTCAAACAAGAGAAATCAGTTGTGGAGAAATTGTAAATACAATCTAATAGTTCCTAATTCCTGCAGTTAATTTCAATGTTATATCCCTTATTTGTGGCATTCTTACTTATGCATTCAGATGTGGATTGTCCCATAAACTTACCTTAGTTCCCTGTATTGCTCGAAACGGATCACTTTCTGCAACAATGCGGACCTGTTTCAATAAATTTAATGTATTAATGTCTTATAAATAGAGATGATTTTCTTCACATATAGAAGAATGAGGATTCTTTAGTAAAAAATGTTCATACGAAAATCTTTTTATATAGAATCAACTTGAGCAAATATCCAAAGATAACAGGAGGTTGAAATAAATGGGTCATCTATTAAAGCTCATTCTTTATAGCCTTTCTCAAAAAAAATTATATACTTACAGCATCACAGTTTTATTTGAACCAATCACAATATTACCTATTTTCTTTTATGTACCACAAAACATAGCTCACAGGACATGTGGAAGCAAAGTGTTAAGGAGGGTAAAAAGAAGAAACTTTGCAGTAACATTAATTAGCGTCTCTTTCCCATATTTACAAAAAGTTAATTCCAATATACCTGTTTCTGCTTCTTATTTTTTAAACAACTGACCTGAGCCAATAGAGAAACTACTGAGCTGAGCCCGTAAAGAAACTACTGAGATGAGCCCTAAAGAAACTACTGAGCTGAGCCCGTAAAAAAAACACTGAGCTGAGCACGTAAAGAAACTACTGAGCTGAGCCCGTAAAGAAGCTACTGAGCTGAGCCCGTAAAGAAACTACTGAGCTGAGCCCATAAAGAAACTACTGAGCTGAGCCCATAAAGAAGCTACTGAGCTGAGCACGTAAAGAAACTACTGAGCTGAGCCCAATAAAGAAACTACTGAGCAGAGCAATTAGAGAAACTACTGACCTTACAGAAACTACTGATGAAACTACTGACCTTAGAGAAACTACTGATGAAACTACTGACCTTAGAGAAATTACTGACCTTAGAGAAACTACTGACCTGAGAGAAACTACTGACCTTAGAGAAACTACTGACCTGAGAGAAACTACTGACCTTTGAGAAACTACTGACTTTAGAGAAACTACTGACCTTAGAGAAACTACAGATGAAACTAATGACCTGAGAGAAACTACTGACTTTAGAGAAACTACTGACCTTAGAGAAACTACTGACTTTAGAGAAACTACTGACCTTACAGAAACTACCGATGAAACTACTGACTTTAGAGAAACTACTGACCTTAGAGAAACTACTGATGAAACTAATGACCTGAGAGAAACTACTGACCTTAGAGAAACTACTGATGCATCTACTGACCTTAGAGAAACTACTGACCTTAGAGAAACTACTGACCTGAGAGAAACTAGTGACCTTAGAGAAACTACTTACCTGAGAGAAACTACTTACCTGAGAGAAACTACTGACCTTCGAGAAACTACTGACCTGAGACCTTAGAGAAACTACTGACCTTAGAGAAACTACCTACCTGAGACCTTAGAGAAACTACTGACCTGAGACCTTAGAGAAACTACTGACCTTAGAGAAACTACTGACCTGAGCCCTTAGGGCTTCGAGCCTTGCTTCCATTTCTTCATTCTCTATTTCTTTTTCTTCTTCCTTCTTCTTTCTCTCCTCCAGTTTTTTATTTATTTGCTCTTCTCTGTAGAAAATCAGTTGAGTTATAGTAAGGATTGTGACATTATCGATTTATTTCTCTTGAACTATAACAGGCCTGCACAACATAAGGCCCACGGGCCCGCCATCACCACTTGGCGGCCCGCAAAGTAATGAAATATTCTTTTTTATTATTATTTTCTTATAGCTTTTCTTTTTGCCCGCACACGTCCTGTACTATTTTCTTTTGGCCCGCACAGCTTTTTCAGAAAGTATTACGGCCCGCCTTACATTTTGAGTTGTGCAGGCCTGGACTAAAAGAATGATCTATTAGTATAATATTAACATTAAAGCATCCACATACATGGATTAAGTCATAATAATTTAATAACTTAAAAGAAAAATAAATAAACATGAAAAAACATATTCTCTGCATTAATTATACTTTTATCAGATTCAATAATACTGTATAATAAATTATTAATATGTCTTTCTTTTAAAAGGAGGCAGGATTTTCAAGTGGTTGGTTTGGGAAAGAAAGTCTCAGCTTATCGGCTGGAAGACAATTTTGTTTTTAATCTCTAAAATTTGTTAGAATTACTCCGGAAAATGTGCTTCAGTGACATTGATAAATTCCCTGGAAGCTATCATTACAACTGTGATAGGAAGATTTCGTAAATATAAATTTACATAACTTATTTGCTATGTATAAGCAATACTTTTTACTGTGATCCACCAACCTGTATCTAATCCTCTCTCTGTCATAAATGGACTGTTTTTCCATTAAACTCTTCAGTTCATCTAACCTCCGCTGCCTCTCTTCTTCCAGTTCTTGTTGTTTCTTCTCTTTAACTTGGTGATACTGGCCAAGCTGTTTGAGGATTTAACATTTCTTATTGCAGCTGTGAGGCTAACACTGAAGAGTGCACCATAATTTTTAAAATACTAAAAATATTTAAATCTGTTAAACTTTCTTGTTTGAGCTTTAGTTTAATACTGGTAGCCAGTGCCAGATTAAGATATGTGGAAGCCCTTGGGCATTCGAGTTATTGCCTCCCCAGTGGCATACCTAGGGGGATGGGAAGGTGCGACAGCACATTATATAAATCTATGTGTGTGTTAGAGGGATGCACTTTTGGGAATAACCTTTGGGCGGACTATTCCATGTATGTCACTGCTCTCCCTCTGCCCACAAATATCCAAATCCTTCACGTTAAGTTTGAGGTTTGAGTCAAACTTTTTTTTTTTTTAAATCACGGCTAAGAAATGCAAGTCTTTATGTTTCAAATATTTGGTCTCTAATTCATTGACCCACTCAAGACACAATGTACTTTTTATTATATTCACCCCTGTCAAAAGCTGAAAGTCTCTCAAAGCCCCATTTTGGTGATTATCATCTTAAGAAATTTTACAAAATGTGTTGTTGGCAATTCATTTTATTTTCTCCACTTAATCCTATAACTTGTAATGAATGAAGATGCTGGTACATTACATCATTACATCAGCCTGTTTAAGATCAAACTATTTCTTCACCCCCCCCCCCAAACACCCAACCCAAAACAAAAAACTGGATCAATTGTCAGTGTGTCCCTGGTCACTTGCAATATTTGCCTTTAGGTTAATCTGGCACTGTAGCTATCTTTCCTAGAAGACTGGATTAAAACTTGTGCAGTTCTTACAATTCCAGTTTTTATTGTGTGGTAAAAAAAAAAATGGAAACATCGATTCTAAAAATGTTTTATCATCCACATCTTACAATCTCCTTTTCCTTTTTCCTTCTACATTTCTCTGCCTCACGCTCTCTGGCTTCTATTTCCTCAGCTTGCTTTTGTCTTTCTTCATTCATCTGGGCTTCCAACTGCATAACTTCCATTTTACGTTCCCTCCATTCTCTCACCTGAAAAGTTTTTCCTTAAGATTAATATATATTTTTGTTAGTACTTAACACAACCAATATGATTTCTTATTTTATTTTTCCCTGACAACTAGTTGTTTTTTTTCTATGTTTATTTTAAGTATTTTCCTGAACAGCCCTGAAAGTATAAATTAAACAGAAAACTCACTTTTTCATACAAGACTTGACAAAGTTGTTTCTGCCTGTTGCAATATTCACCACGGACCTCCTCTAGCTCATGTGCAACAGCAGCCTCAGCAAAAGTCATTTGTGCCTTGTGCAATAGCTCACGCCTATCTCTTGCCCAGTCTGCATATATTCCTTTCAATCTCTCATGATAATATTTGAAGTCCATCCACCAGTCCTCATGATCTGACTTTAAAATTAAATCATAGTTTAAAAAAGAATGTATAAATGAAAAAAAAAAGCAAGAATGTTCTAAAATCTAAAATTGTTTAATGAAACAAAGTAAATTAATAACTAATGAGTGATGTGGTTAAAATAATAAAAACATCATGACATAGGAATGGACATAAAATTATAACTGTTTATAACAAACATTAGATCAAATAATCCAGTTAAATTAAATGAAGACATATTTAACTTTATTTGTGGATGTAATGAACATGAGCCCTCTGTCAGTTTAACTGTCTTTCATCAACATCATTCTGATTCAGTATCCATTTAGGCATGTGCCCTTCAGCCAGAAGCCATGGTGAATAATTTTGATATTTTTTGTATAGGGTATTTGTGTAGTCTGATAATTCTGTTGGGCAGCTTAAATGTCTTTAAGTCAATGAACACTTAATGCACTTTTTCCAATTCCCATGCTTGAACTACTTTTATTTCAGAGGACCTTACTGATCTTCCAACCAACAAGGTAATCCCTGTATAAATGTTAAGTATATATTTCCATACCACTTGTTTGATATATATATATATATATATATATATATATGCAATTGGATGAAGGGCCTATGCCCAAAATGGCCACTGGATCAAGATGATAATAATAATGACCAAAACAACCATATAATTGCAAAATTTTATATAGCCAAAGTTTTAAACTACCATATCTGATCTTGATTTTTCAGGTAGATGGCGTTTGAGTCTATCAAAAAGCAATGCTCGTCGATTGGCCAGTTCCCTAGGATACTGATCATGGATAGCCACAAATTTAAAATGCTCCTCGTCACCCCAGAGGTTTTCCTGACTGGTATAAATTAAAAATACAAAACAAATTAATCAACTATAATTCTTAATTTGCGAATTTTTTATTTTTTTTTACCATTCATTAATTAATAAAATGTAGCCTAATAATAAATAAATGACTATTGCCATATATAAAAAAAATAAAACAATAATGGAAATTTGAAATAGGGCAGGGTTCTCTTAGTAGAAAATCTTAACCTTCTAATTCCAATATTTTCCCAACTGAACTTTAAAAAAAATTAATGTGAGCTCAAACTTATTTATTTCTCCTCTGCCAGTGTGAAAACTCGATTAATTTATGAAATTAGATAAATTGTCCTGTTTCATATATATTGTGTGCCTCAATGGTCTTGTTTCAAATGTACAGATGATTAAAGTGTAGCTATTAATTTATCAAGATAAATTTTTAAAAAATTGTGAATAGATTATTAAAATATTGATTACTCCAAAAGAAAAGTATCAACCTTAATGCTAGAGCATGCCTCTGTCCCAGCTGATCGATCATAGATTCATACTTTCCATCTATGATTAGAAACTCCTGGAGGACATCAGACTTAAGTTGTAGATCTGGACAAGACAAATCAATAGCTTCCTGTGGAATCCCAGGATGTACAACTGTGTGCTTTTTTAATTGTGGTGGGCACATTTCCAGAAGTAAACCTGAAGAAATAAAAATAGATTTAATTATTTTTTTGGGTAAGACACATTTCTAAACACACTGTATAGCTATAAGATTTGGAAAGTAACTTCTGCTACATCTGGAACAACAGTAAACAGTGGCATCACATAGGGAGTTTGGTGGTGGAGATTACACTGGGTGTCACCTTTAAAAGGGGGTGATTGCTTTTATAAAATGTTTTAAAAAGTAATTATCATTGCTTTGCCATCCTCTTTGCCACTCCTTAAAACTTGTAAAAAATATTCTTATTTTTAATGTAAACTAACATTCATTTCAAATAACAACTGAGGAATCATTGAAACTAGTTGTTTTGCTATAAATTCCATAGAAAGTGAATCTGCCAAAATTAATAATCTTGATACGTAAATGAAAATGTTTGAAAAATTAAGTCCTAAAAAGAGCTATTCTTTTAAAAATTATTATATCTATTCTGTTGATGCTTTTTTTTTTCTTCATAAATTTGTTTACAAAAATTATGATTTCAAAGAAAAATGTGCATGTTATGCATCTTTACGACGCCAAATTTATTTGTCTCCATGGGCTAGGGCATAATGTATACATAATATGTCTTGTTTTATAAAATTTAACATTATTTTCTATTGTATAGTTGCATTTTTTAATCTATATTTATTATTATTGTTTTTGGCTGTAGTACAATCATTTTACATAACTTAAGTATAAGTTATTTAAATATTCTTTTTTACAGTACATTTTTTTTCTTACTACAACAAAACAAAAATTTCATTGCACCCAATATATGTTTTAGGAATTATTAGGAATTATAATAAAATTTGAAATTGCATTTTTAATTAAAATAATGATACTTTTTGGTTGGCAGTGGGGTGTAGAATCAGCAGACGTTATGACTCAAAACACTGGGTGACACTACAACCTCTGGCATCAACTATTGTTATAAATCTGAGTGAATGTTTTGCAGTACTTTCAGTAGCATTCAATTTTAACAGATAAATATGTTTTTTAAATATTTATTAAACTATTTCTTCTATAATAAAATATAGGCCTATTGCTTTTTAAAAAAATAAAAACCTGAACACAATTCAGCTTCTAAACGTTTTTGTTCATTGTCCAATTTGTTAATGATTTCTTCTTGCTGTTCTTTTACATGAGTCACTGTCTTTTGGATATCAGTATATTTTTCTATGACATTTGGTGATCCATATTGAAGTTCTTCACGGTTTTCACTTAGCCAGTATCTTAAGTCATCTCTGATTGTGGGGGATACAAACAAGGAAATATCATTATAAGTGCTTAAATTAATACAATATGGTAATTAATTTATATGATTACATATGAAGATTTGGTAATTCTTTTTTTTTTAAATAATAACATAAAAAAGGTGAAAGGTTTAATTTTATGAAATATTAACATTAATAACTGGGCCTATAAAGTATAAGTCTACAAAAAAAAATTGATAGAATAGAAAAATAATATGAGCTGGAAAACAAAATGTTAAAATAATTATTTTATATGGTTGTATTAATTGTTATTCATCTATAAATATGGTAATTAAAATCACTGTCAACACAAATGACTAGTCTAGATCAAATAAGAGTATTGACATTTAAATGTAAATAAATTATTAACATGATACCTCATACACCAGACTGGATCAACTGTATTTTTCTTGAATCCATCAAAATCTGATGAAAGTGCTGCATCACAGTAATCAAAATCCTTATAAATGTGGCCACAACTTTCAGAATTCCGATTAGACCTCATATGAATCTCCACATCAACCTCAAACTTAAAGTAAAGTAATTTATTTGAAAACATTTAAGTGGCAAAGCTCAAACTCAAAATCAGAAAGAGAAGATCAGGGACAGTAAGAATAAATTTGATGTTAACCTGAAGAACCCAACGACAAAAATATAATTTTGTGATTACCTTAATTAACAGGCTGAAGAGAACCTAGGCACCAATTACAATTGATGAAGAGAAGGAAGCTTTACACAATTTCAAGTTTGAAATTAAGAGTGAATATAAAAATGGAAACATAATTGAAGAAAACAAAACAACTGTAGCTAAATGAGTTAACATTTCTCTTTTTAATATGTTTTCTCTCAGCATTATTAAGGGCCATATTATAATAATAATAATAATAATAAAGTTCATTTCAAAACGAAACACGCTTCATCCCCAAAGGCTCGAAGCGCGGTACAAAGTCAACAAAAAACAAATCTATAATTTACCACATTTAAAATAAACGCAACACTATAAAAACTAATTACAAGCATACAATGTCAAAGTCTTTCTAGCCATTTCAACCATAAGCAACACAGCCATTATGCATTAAATGGAAAATAACTTATCTGTAACTTGCCACCTTCATTTTGGAATATGAATACATAAAATTGAGTAAACTAAATATTTATATTTGAATGACTGTACTTCTCATGCATAAGAAGTTTTCAGAATTATGTTTTTACATAATTCACATATGAACCAAAATGGTAGTCAATTTTAATAGGCCATTTATTCATTAATTTTTTTTTTCTTATGCAGTTTATTAATATGACACCAGATTAAAACGCATTTACTTTATTGTGTTAGTGATAATTAAAACAGGTAAAAATTTTAATTTACCATGTTCAAGGAAGCCTTTAAAAAATCTGAATGTAACCTTACTTTTTTTCTCAGGTGTTGTAACTTAAGAAATTCTTTGTGCCAAAGAAGCTGGTGCTGTTTGAGGGTTGAATTTTCCTTGTGCTGCTGTGATTTCTGTTCAATCTTGCTTACTTTCATAGAGGTCTTGATAGATCCAAAACGTTTTGCAGATATTGTAGCTCTTAAGCGATGATAATCAACTGCTTTATACTTGTTGCTTCCTAGACCATCAAGCATGCGATGGACTAGGCCATCTGGCAGAAAGAAAGTGCATTTAAGTTAAAAGATTTACAATTTTCAGAAAATCTTTTAATCCTTGGATCGTATAGCATGAAGCTACTTGCTCGTGGTATTCAACATTACCATGGAAAAGCTTCAACTATTTATTGCAATGCTAAATTATTAAGCACCTGATGATAAAATTAATAATTTCACCGGATTTTGGTTAGAGTCTTAAAAAACAATTTTAAATATAATCTAAAGATTTATAAATGATTGTTAAATCACCTGTGTTATCTGATCGGATGCTCGATGAAGACTTCCATTGAGTTCTATCAGCCATATCATATGCATTTAAAAACAATTTTTAAATTGAAAATGCTGTGTAGATCTTAAAAAAAAGAAAATGTTAATATAATATCTCAATATTTTAATAAAATTCTTTATCAACTTGATCAATTAAAAAATGTTTTGATCCATTATCCATCAATCAAAATCATTTCAATATTTACAATGAGTATAATTTAAAGCTTAAAGAGTCATTTTTACAAGGGATTGAACAATGCATATGTTAATATCATTTCATTGAATTTCTGACAAAATTTGGCCTAGGGCTAATAGTCTTGTTGTAATTTTTGCATGTTGTCTTGTCGGCATAGTGGCCATCCACAAGAGATTTCCAAATGCTCTTATCTTAGCAGGCCCACTTTTTCTACTATCCCCAGTTTAGTCCCATCTTTTTTTTTTTTTTGTCAGCCTCTGGCTCATGTCCCAACTTTCTCTCTACTTTTCTTGTTGCCCAGGCAAGTTGTAGGCTTGCAATCCAATTCAATTGTCTTGGATTTGATCATTTCTTCCTTAGCATGTCAATTTTTAGTATGCAACAACATATTTATGTGTTTCTTATACTTATAATAAGAAATCTTATTTTATGGCTTTTTCAAAACCAAGAGTTGAAAAATTTGTTTGTTTTTTTGTTTGTTGTCATACTTATTAATACACTATTATAAGACTACAGGCAATATCTCTGCTCCATATAAGAAGACATCTTCATTATTGTGGTGTTAAATACATTGACTTTTGCTTCAACTTCAAGTTTTAGATCTTGTATCTCCAGATATTTTTAGTAATCGTTGACAGCATCTGTTGCCTTTCCCTTTCAAATTTTTATAACAGTATCTGACCCTGTCCTTGTTTTTCTACTTTTTACTATATAAAAATGGGTAAATGTAATGGAGTTACTTATTTATCTGTCAAACTTCAACTTATTTTTGGAAAATACTTATTGCTTTCTGACTTCTGACCTCAAGAACTGAAACGTTTTTGTGTGTGGAATTTTAAGCTAAATCAAGCATGATATAAATATTAAGAAACGTTATTTGTTTTGTATTGCACTGGGCTCAAAGTTGTAAATCACGACTGTGACTCACAGTGAGGTGAGTGCCTGGTACACTCAACTGATCTGATTAACTCAAGTAAGCTGGACTGGTGAGGCCAAAAACCTGAGGCTGAGTCAGCCAGGCCAAAATCATCCCAATAAAAGATTATGAATCTCCTGCCAATAAACTTAAATAACGGGCAATCTCAGCCTGAGATTTTTTAACTTACTTTAATAAAACATTTTAAAATTCTTTAAATAGTTTAAAATCATATTACTAATGACTAATAGTCATTGAGAGATAGTCCATTCCAACAATAAATTTGGCGTCCAACGTTACACCTACTTCCGTCAATAAACTTTAGCAATGTCCAGATAAGTTTCAAGATTAATAAAATAGGATTTATATTTTGAAATATCTTTAAAATAAAATTCAACTTTTTTTTTAGTCATTTGAAAAATGTAATAAAATGTTTATGGTATAAATCAAGGCTTTCAAGCATTTTCTTGCGTGAAATTATTGATTATTTTGTATTTGATTAAATTAAAAGAATATGAACAAAATGCAACTGGGCATAGTCAATAGAAATTAAAAAAATGGCCGCCGACTCTCCAGTTAGACTGTTGTCTTACCCAACTTAAATAATTTGTTAACCAGGATTGCATTTGAAGCACTCGTATAAATGGCAAAATGAGCAAAAAAGTTAAAGAAATGATTGGTGGTTGTTGTGTGTGCTCAGACGAGCGTGGTTGGAATGAAAATCCTCTTGTTTATTGTGATGGAGCTGGTTGCAGTGTTGCCGTCCATCAAGGTTCTGGTTGTTTATTTTTTTTTAAATTTGGGGAATTAAAATAGGTCTAAGCCATTCATCTTATCTTGCTATAATACTGACAATGATAGTTTTAGGCAGTTTAAGTTAAAGCCCACTTTATGCATTGGGGCATGGCTAGGGCAATCCCCCCGAACATGGGTCCCAATTTCAAATAATGTCTGAAAGTAAAATTTGGGCCAAAATTTGCTTTAGAAAGTGCCAGGCCGCCCAAATAATTATTGATGTAATTGTTTACATCTACTATTCTGAATGAATGGAGTTGTGTTGGAGACTAATTGCATGTAAATGTAAAACAAATATTTCCATGGCTGGCAGGCCGCAATCAGTGACTCATTTTGCAAATAATGTTTTTGCCAGGAAACATTCTGCAAACTTACGACACAACGTCGAAGACACTGTATGACAGCATGCTTTGGTTAGAGTGGCTTGCAGAATACTGTCTCATAACTGGCAACGTCCCATGTCCTTAGTCTCATACGTCAAGTCACCTGAGGGTTACTCATGGAAATGCCGTCTGTGTAATATGACATGCAGTATAAGCATTAGGTCATTTTTTGTAAACTGTGGGCTTGGCATACAGAAAATTGGCTTGATGATATTCTATTGGCTTTGTGAAGTGAAATGCAAGCATGTTATACTTTTCGAAAGCATTGAAACTTTAGATACCATATTGAACAACAAAAACTTTACCCAAATTGGTTTTAAGTTCATCAAGGTGGAACACGCCATGACCTGTTTCCAAGCTACTTGTGCGCTTTCCAATGGCAATCTATCAACCTAAACCTTTGGAGTAATAATTGCATTTAAACAAAAATAAAAAAAAACAGGGAGGTGGAGTGTATCAAATTAGCCAGAATCTTGTGACATCATTTATTGACAAATAAACCAAATCAACCTGACGTTCTCTGACAATTTAGGTGTATTCCCACCCAAATATGAAAAACTTAATGGGTACCATAGTTTGGTGTGCCTGAGTTTGAGTCATGTTAGGGGTACTACAGCATCAAAATCTTTCTTTAAATGTATGCCTTACTGTTTTGATAATTAAATTAGAAGTCAGCATTTCATCCAAACACTTGAAATTTAAAAAGGGCTTACTGTATTATAAAAATAATTTAGGGTTTACTGTTGAACATAAAATTGAACTTTTCAGTAACCTAACTTATGTCTATGAAGTTAATTATTTATGGATATTCAAAACAAGTTGTAGGAATGAAACGAGGAAACCGATTAATCTTAAAAAGTCATTTCTTTTATTTTTAAAATTTTTATTTCAGCTTGCTATGGTATTGTTCTCGTTCCTACTGGACCATGGTTTTGTAAGAAATGTGAGTCTCAGGAAAGAGTTGCTCGAGTGGTGAGTGAACACTGATTTTAAATATTAATCTTAAAACATGTTATTCATAAACAAAAGACCCCATCATAAACAGAGATCCTTTACAGAGATTGTATGTACAATATGATGATCTAGCAAAGTAAGATCATTTATCTTTAAAAATCACAAATTATGCTTATAGCTATGAACTTATTTTAAGTTATAAATAAGATGGTCAAGCTCTCCCACAAACCATTTATGGCAGGTGAAATGTGAAACTTTGTTTTATTGCCTTCTTAAACTCTGCTCATACTTTAACATCATTTTATTATTCTTTTCTTCAGAAATGTGAGCTCTGTCCTCAAAGAGCTGGTGCCTTAAAAAGAACAGATACTGGAGGTAACATTTTTTATATTTAGATGCTCAGTTTACTTAATTTTCTTTTTTTTAAATGTTTATGTCTCTTTTAAAACAGAATTAAAATTATATTAAACTCTGTTCATTCTAGGATGGTGTCATGTTGTTTGTGCACTCTATATCCCTGAAGCTGGGTTTGGTAATGTACAGACTATGGAGCCGATTCTTCTAAGTGGTGTTCCTAACGAACGATTCAATAAGGTATAGTTTGTCTGCTTTGTATCAATTGTGTGTACTGGCATCAAACACTTCATTTTGATAAGTCAGTAGTGATTTTGTTCGTACCTGAAAGAAGGTCAAAAACCTAATTATTAATTTGTTTACTACTAACCAATCTATGGAAAACATTTTGTTACCATATCAAAGTAAACAATTAAATTAGGAATTTTAGAATAAGAAATAAAATTTTCTGTACATAAGTAAAAGTCAGCAATAAAAGTACATTATGTAACGGTTGCCAACAACAATGAAGCTATTTTCAAGAGATGAAATTCTTAATGTTCCAAAACTTAATAAAAAAAAATGTATAACTTAAACACAAGGACATATTATTTTGAATGTATTTTTGATTTGCTAATTAAATATTTGCTGTCTTTTGCTTTACCCTTATAAAAATTGACAGTCTCTTACATTTATTATAACTGAGTTGCTAACATAACGTAATTTATCAAGAATAGCTTTGGTGGGAAACGATTATTTGTATTTAAATGATATCTATTTCAAAATATGTTAACATTAATTGATGCATATAATTTATTTATAAATTAAAAAGTGTTATTGCTATTATTTCTTAAAATCATTGTATTTAAATCTTTTAGACATGTTACATTTGTGAAGAACAGAAGCGAGATACCAAGGCAACAGCTGGTGCTTGCATGCAGTGCAATCGTAACACATGCAAACAGTTTTTTCATGTAACCTGGTAAGTACTTTTTCATTTATTTATTTCCTGTAAAATGTTGTCATATGGATTATAGCTCTGTGTAAATTTAAATTTATAACGTGTTTATTTTATCAGTGCTCAAGCACAGGGACTGCTATGTGAAGTGACGGGAAGCTATGAGAATGTTAACTATTGCGGCTATTGTTCCCATCACTATAAAAAATTGGTAAGTTGAAAAAAAGAAGGCAATTTGTAACAAGCTCAACTTATGATCAATTAAAGGAATTCAAAATTTTTTAATAAGGATATTACAGATTATTTATTCCATTCATATTTAATTCATTATTTTCAAACAAGAAGTTCATTGTAAGAAATTAAACAATTAAATTAATCAAAAACATTGTTCATCTTTGAAAAGGATTTAATTTTTTTTTTTAATGGTAGCCCGATATTATTATCAAGATTAAGTTCTAGGTAAAGTTTTTCAAGCAATAACAGAATGTCGTGTTCAGGTTATTAAAGAAACGTGGTGAACTTAAAGTCATATTTCTATCTGTTCATGTTAACTTTTTTTTAAAGATTTTTTTCCAGGAATAGCTTTAAGCTTAAAATGATAAAGAAAAAAATATGAGTGAAGGGACAACCATTGAAAGTTCAGAATACCAATTTCTAAGCTTTTTGGATTTTTAATAATTATCCTGCATAAATTAATTTAACTACTTTGTGAAATTTGTATGATTTCCAATAAAGAGGGCTTACAGACTTGCCAACCCTTCTGATTTTGTTGGAATTATACAGATTTTTTACCTCTCATTCCGACAAACCCCTTAAAATTCCGATTTTTTCAAACTTTATAATTTTTCACCCGTCATAAAAATCTGAAAGCGACAAAAAATAATTTTTTTAAAATCGGGTACGACAGGAAATGTTGCATTTGTTTTTACAAAGTGCATACGTGTCAGGCGACCGGACGAAGAAGTGAATAAATTCTCGAGATATTCGTCCAGTTATTACTATTATATATTCGACCACATGACACCGTAACAAAGTTGCGCGATAAATTTGTCCGTCCGCCTTGTCATGTGACCGCTAATTGTCGATCAGAGTTAACGGTACTTCATTTCAACAAATTCAAAGTAATCTGGGCAGTGACACGAAAAAAGAAATATGTTATATTCTACAAAAGAAATACTAGAACCATTGCTGGTATATATAATGAACAATTGGTTAAAAAGTGACAATAAATATCTCCTGCCAGATAAATATCTCACGCACTATTTGTTCGGTCGCCTGACATGTAGACACTGCCTTGTTTTTATGAAAGCGAACGGCGATCTTCAAATCAATCGATCAATCCGATCGTGATTCATCCTTTTTACAAGGCTAAAAAATAATTCAGACTTTTTTGTTTGTTTTGTTAAAGCTCTTAATTAAATGGTTAAATCTATTGAAAGTGATGAGTACAATGATATTAATAAACATATTATTTTAACCCTCAAAAAACTTACAACTGCAGCTAAAAGTAATCCATGTCTAATTTCTAATGAAAGTTAATGCTTTTCCTAACTTGCTTGTAACTAAAATCAGTTGCAATGCTAACCTTCAGTTGTCCAAATGGCTTGGACAAGTGCAAAAAAGGCCAGTAGGGATATACTGGAAAACTGAACTCTTAGCAGCCTGTGCATATTATGTAAATAACATCACACTGGAGATGGCGTCGGTGGGTTGTCGAGCGCTAGCTTTTGATACCCGCACACCTCCACACGGGCCAGACGCCAGGTCTTGCCGCCGCCTGAATGTGCGTAAGCATGTCGGGAACCTCCCCACTGGCCTGTGGGACGTCCAGTCGACTGAAAACGCTGCATTTAAAGCATTCGCGGCCCACTCTCCGTGGGTCAGAACGACTTTGCTTCCACTCCGGGGAAAGGTGTTGCATTACCTCCCCCCACCGTCCAGGGAGTCGTCTGGTGGGGACGAAACGGGCGCCTAGGAGCGGCTTTCTCAGGGCCGCGTAGTTAAAATCATTGGAATGGGTTTTAAATGCGACGCAGACCTCATATCCGTTAATTGCAACAAGTAATCATGTTATTGTGTTACTCCCGTTGCGTTGGGAGTCATGCAACTGGCCGGGGTTTTTGGCTTCGGGAGAGGAGCCCTCCTTACTAGTCTAGCACGCCACGAAGAGGCAAACCCCATGTGACACCACAAAGTCGCCTCGGCGGTGCGGGTCCCTGACTTAGAGTTCTTCAGTCAGATTCCCCCAGTATTATGTAAATAAAATGGATCTTCTATTCTGTACTGTATAGATCTGTATATAAACATTTCCAGTAATGTTTTTCTCATTTTCTGTGGACTCTTCAAAGACAATGGAGGTAACTTTATATTTCTCTATTTACTAAAAAGGGTTGTGCATCAGGAAATAGATCTTAAAAGCCAACTACCCCCACGGGGGCGCCACCCACGGGGGGGCAGCGGCCCCACAGGGGGATTAGCAGTAACTGTATAGTTCTGGTCCCTGTTTCCTGGCAATTTTACATTTAATACAGTAATTTGGGAAAATGACTTTTTTTTTTATATTTGTTTGTGTTTTAACAGAAAAATCAGTCTAATGTAAAGACAATCCCAGCTTTCAAGCCTATTCCGAGTGAGAATGGCACACCTGATTCCAGTCCAGAGAAAATAGTTCAAAATAAGACAGAAGGGGAAATTAAGGTTTTCATTTAAAATGTTTATATTTTAGTGAAGAATCATAAGCCTTAACTTTGATTAATAATAACAGGAATAACAATATAATTTTAAGAATTCCTGTCCAAATTGTTAAAGGTGTATTTCATAATTATGTGCCATTGATCAAGTATTATTTCTAATGATTTATGAAATTGGTCATTTTTTGTTTATTTTAAATTCAATTAATTGTAGCTTTTTAAAAATACAATTAATTGTAACCCTTTTGTTTATTTAAAATACAATTTATCCCCACCCCCTTTTTTTTTTTTGTTTATTTAAAATACAATTAATGTTAGCCCTTTTTTTTTATCATTTTATTTTTTGAATTTAAGTAAATTCTGTCTTTCTTTTTTAATTTACCCGTTTTGATTCAAAGGTTTTAATCATTTTTTTTTTTTTTTTTTAAAAATAAAATTAATTGTAACCTTTTTTTTTATTTAAAATACAATTTTTCCCCTCCCCTTTTTTTTTTTTTGTTTATTTAAAATACAATTAATGTTAGCCCTTTTTTTTTATCATATTATTTTTTGAATTTAAGTACATTCTGTCTTTCTTTGATAAGTTACCCGTTTTGATTCAAAGGTTATAATCATTTTTTTTTTTTGTGTACATGCATTGATCTTAATCAATTATTTTTATGTTTGCTTTCAGCCTCCCAGTCAACCTACTATTGAACAGGTAAAAAGCCCTCAAGTGGACCAGTCAGTTAGTAGCACAAGTGATTCAGTTCCCTCTCAGCTTTTGGCCTACAGCAAGCCAGATCTGGTTTCGCCTGGTTGTAGCCAAGTTTCAGACATCACATCGGCTGTGTCTCCATCTGGTGAAGATCTCAAATCCCCCCAATCTGGTAGCGATCTTAGTCAAGAACCATCATCCTCAGGGGTGATTACTCAACAAAAGTCCATCATAACCAAGCTCCTGCAAGATGGGGGAGCTACTTCATCAACAGAAAACATTGAAGTTGATGTTGGAGGTGTCACTGAAGAAGTTAAACTAAATGTTGATGTGTTACCTGTGACATCAGAGGAAACATCACAGGCAATGTCCAAGCGACAACGACAAGTGTAAGTCTACAAATAAAAAACAATTTTTGGCTAGCACCTAAGCTAATTTAAAAAAATTGTATGTTAGGCAATAAATTGTATAAATTCTTAGATGTGCCAATTTCTCGCTCTTTGTATAAAAAAAAACATGGAGAAACCTACAATTTTTTTAATTTATACTAAACACAAAAATTTATTTTTAAAAAAATCAAATTAACATCCTGTGCATACAAGATGAAAGAGAAAGGGAAAATAGTTTTTTTTAAATCTTCATTTTAGAAAATAAAATTATTTCATAATAGTTATAAGAAGGAGAGAAAATGTATGGCAAACAAATTTTAAGTACTATTCTTTTAAGGGTTTTATATCTCAACTCTTCTGAGGCCTTTGAAACTGGATGTTCAATTTTATTTTAGGTAATAATAGTCTTAAATTATGTGATTTTGAACAATATTAAAAACTAAATAGACTTTGAATGGAGCATAGTTGTACAATTTAGTATTTGCTTTAACTTGCTGTACTTCCAAAACTTTTAAAAATTATTACTTTAATCTTAGAAATTCTCAAAAACCAGAGAAGAGTGCTGTAAAGAAAACTAAGTCAACAACGATATCATCCACTGTTCCTCACAGAAAAGATGGATCAAAGAAAGCAATGAAGAAACGAAGAGATTCAGGTGGTTCCTCTACTAAAGGTGCCACAACATCTTCCAATACTGCCACCACTTTACCAGGGTGAGATAAACGATATGTTATGAATTCTCATAGTCTAAAATACAACAAAATCTTTTTTAACTGATTGGCTACAGATTATTTTATGTAGCAGAGTTTTAGTTTTTGCAATGTCCACAGTACTGATCCACTGTCCTCAGTACTGACTTACTGACCACAGTAGTGAGTCACTGTCCAGAGTATTGAGTCAATGTCCACAGTACTGAGTCAATGTCCACAGTACTGAGTGATTTTTTTTAAAAATCCCTTTGATCTCTATATAATGTTGCATGTAAATTGTGAAAAGGAACAATTTTGAATTTTTGTCCTACCATGTATCTGTAAAAAACAATTTTTTTTAAATGTACTGGGAATATTCTAATATGGAACCCCCATCCACCTTCTAAAAAATAAAACAACCACCAGTTAGTTTTCTGGAGTTAGGTAATCTGAAATTTAAAACCTCCAGATTGAAGGGGTTAAAGTTAAAACTGATGAATAATGTTTCTGTTTAAGAGAAATAGATATGTTTATTAAAGTCAAATATGTGTGACTTAAAACTCAATTTCTGTATTCTATGCTTAGCCACCATAACTACTGTGGAAGTATATTTGGGGGAAGCCCTTACTTTCAAAGCCTCAGTGCCCCTGGACGAGTTTCATTGTCAAACTTTGCCTCTCATGGTAAGTTATTTTAGTCTATTCAATCACAAATAATAGTTCTCTAGGTACCAATGTATGTATGCAGGGCTGTAATGTTTCTGTTCAAAAGCGTGAAAAATACAATTTCCCCAAAGTGCTCTCAACAGTGTTTAAATTTGTGTTCAATTTCTATTTCAAAATAGGGTTTCTTAAAAACACTGATAGTGAGCTTTGTTTTGTTTACAGAAATCAAATCGGTTTAAATCAGGAAAAATAAGTATGTAAATAGATATATCTTCTTTTAATATGTAAGTCTTATTTCTATAAATTAGAAATAAATTTAATATACCGTAATTAAATGCCAAGAAGTTAGCATTGATTGGGATTCTTATAAAGTGTGATACTTGCATGTATGTTTTGTCAAGTAACTCTGGTAGATGGGAAGCTCACTCATTGCTGCTGCCATTGTTTGACAGGTTATTTCCAGTTCATTTATATTTTTATATATATAAAACACTATGCTTTAATATAGAGGAGCACGGTTAGGAAGTTGAGATTTTTTTATCTCTAATTTTTCTGGCTCTCCTTTTCTGCGCCCTTGCTGAGGGAAGAAATAAGTTAAAGAAACAGTGATCCTGTGATGGAAGGAATCCCATTTAGTTAAAAACTATTAAAAACAACTTTATGTCTGCACGGAATGCAATAACTTTTTAAAAAGCATATCCATAGTTTGGATATATCCCTTGTGATATTGTCAAGCGTTTGTTAGGTACACGGTCAAAGAAATCGTGCACTCCTGTGAATGGAGATGAAAATACATTTATTACATGTCGTTAGCACATCATCAGAGATGTAGGGCATATTTTATAATTAGTTCTCCTGACCACAGTCTTTGACATAACTTTCTATAGTTTGTATCTTCATCTAATAAGGTCATCATGTCACAGTTAACTGTCAGTTTGAATGAATGAAATAAATAAATTTATATTTTTCCACGTAAAAGAAGTTTATTGTCATTTTTTGCCGTGTGTGTTCATTCAGTCATTTCATTGTTTACTGACCGGCTATTTCTTTTTTTCAAAGTATTATCTTATGAAAAAATAATGATGCTTGCTTTGGAAACGGTTTCATATGATCAACATATTAGTTAAGGGATGCAAAATAAGGCCATTGATTCAATTTTAAGTGTTTCTTTTATGAAGACCTGGTTACTTTGTTTGCAGGGTTGTTCCCAAGCCTACCATATGGTGGGGACAACTACCTCTATGCTACAGATTCTTATTACGGTGGGTCCTCACACACAGGACACATTGTGCTTATGGGGTTGTAGTGTGCATGAGCTTGCATGTTCTTATGTGGTCTTCATCTGACTGTATGCTCTGCTGTAATTTTAGAGCATGTGTTTGTTTCAGAAGTGGCATATGCCGTATTTTTGCGTATATAAGACATTTCAATTTTTTTTTTATCAATGAAGCCGCCTTTACATCTGGCATTTATTGTTTCCAGAATCTAGATTTAGGTACTAACCCATCTGCTATTGGCCCAGTGGGGAATAAGAATAAACACTAATCGTACTGTCCTGCCTCAGACAATTCTTTGATCTACCTGTAAACTAAAAATGTTAATGAAGCCTTGTTTACATCCGACAGGTGATGAAACATTGAACAAATTTTCATTTATGATAAAGGAAAGAAAACCACTGGATATAAATTGCTCAGTGCGGCAGATGGTTAGGCTACGTGTGTCTTACGTAATTTTTGTTTACACAAATGGTTAAAACCCACGTCTTATTATGGGTGCGTCTTATGTAAAATATTTTTTACATAAATCGTCAAAACCTGTGTCTTATATGCGCGACAATACTGTACTCTGAATAATCATATAAATATTTTTTTTTTCCTTCATTATTTGGACCTGTAACTGTTTTTGGCTCCCTATTCATGTCAGATCCTTATTAGTAAATAAGTTAATTATCCTTATGTATCTAATATTAGTATATTATGTTAATAGGGAAAAAAAATTGATCAGCTTGATTAAAATTTTATGCATTTAACTGTTCTATTTTTAAATTAAGCTTTTCTTAATTATTATTATCTCAGAGACTACTCTATATTTTTTTTTTAAATCCACTCTCTGTTTATTATTTCAGTGCCACCTATTAACTTCTAATAAGAAATGACTTGTAGTTCAAAATGAATTGTGAACAAGAAACAATTTTGTTGTTATTTTTCCTCTGTGGTTGGGTTAATTAGCTTTATCCTGATCCTTTGTCTTCACCTGGTGACCAGACTGTTATTAGTTTTCTTTCTCTCTGATGTAATGCATTCCAAGTGTTGTGATTCCTATATTAAAATGTTGTATCCATTAATAGCAAAATAAGTTCCAACATGCAACTGTCTAGTTCAGATGATACATATTTTTTTTTTAAAATCTATGAATCATCCATTTTCCAGTTTTAGTCTTAAATCCCAGACTTTAAAAAAGAAATTTCATTTGAAAGTGGAGATAACTTGCTGTGAAAGTTTAAAATGATTATTTTCCCCCTCAAACAGCATACATCCAGTCTTACCCATAAGTACATGTTTTGTATGAAGTACCTTAAAGGTGTCTTGTTGTACTCCTGTGTAGTTAAAGTCAGTGTGTTTGGCATTCTCATAAACCATTGTAAGGTTTTACAGGGTACATAGAAAAATGCTCTTAACTGAAAGCTAATTTTAGAAAACTTTTTAACATTTATAAACAAAAAATAAGTTTATTGAAAAGCAAAGCCAACTTTGATAGTATTTTCCAAATTAAGTGGCAAGAAATTGATCTCCAGATAAAGAAAAGTTAGTGACCAAAAAAACAACAACAAGCACTTAATAACTATACAACGTTTTTATGTGCCCTATTGACCATGTTCAGCTCTTTTTACAATACTTTCAGTAGTCCGTCAATTCCAATATATCTTGTGTAGAAACTGCCACTATATATTTTATATTATGTAATACTACAGTAATAAATAAAACTAATCAAATTACAAATAGTTTTAGAATAAATATGTTTCATTGATTTTTTCAAAGATTCCTCTGCCTTGAATGGCACGCCACCTCTAGTTCAACCACCAAAGCAGTTTCCTAGCATTCATACCAGCAAGCAAGGTCAAGACCATTCCCAGTGAGTAGCACAATACATTGCTGTATTGTATGGTACTTAGTGTCTTTAAAATTTCAAAATGCATAGAAATCTTGCATATAAATATTTGAACTATTGCTTTTTGGGCTTTAACAAACAATTGTATAAATTGCACTTATTTCATCTGAAAAGGTTTGCACCATAATTATAAATGTTTTGATAGATAATTTTAAAAATATTTTTTGTTCAAAGCTTAAAGTAAGTAATAGTCTTCACTTGTTCCATCATTGCTTTTCCATCACAGCTGTTGATTGTTATCATATATTCAATTTTGATCCTGTTCAGTTTATTGTGATTGATTTAATGTCTAGGGATTTCCCTCTGTCGATGGAGCAATTGTTGGAACAGCAATGGGATCATGGGGCACAATTCTTAATGGACCAAGGACAGCACTTTGACAGTTAGTGCATTTGTAAATTTGAAAATAATTGTATAATGTCATTGACCACTAGAAAAATATTGACCTATTGTGATATTTTCCTTTCCTTTCAAATAAAGTTTTCTTTTAGATATTTTTGAAGAGTTTGCATTAAGTCTAGATGTAAAATGTTATATTAAAGCCAAGAAAAACTGCTGTAATTTTTTTTTTAACATCCTGAATTAGTTGCCTCCCTCCTGAACTGCTTACATCGACTCAAGGGAGAGAATCAAAGCTTGGAAGATCAGGTTAGAGACCTGACATCACGTCGTAATCATCTTATGGCAGTTAATGCTCGACTGTCATTGCCTCTGTCTGTTTATGATGGATGTCTCTCTAACAGTCAAAGCTCATCAATGGGTAGTCTAGAAGACATCTCCTCACCAGATGATGTGCAGGTAACAACATGGACAAGGAAATAGACTAATTCTTTTAATTTTATGTGAAATGTTTATAAAACCTTCAGATGTATTTCAAAAGCAGATCCCATCATATGAGAAAGCATGTCAAGTTTAATTTTAGTTGGTTTTTTTTGTTTGGTCATCAAAGTTCTGTTTAAATTTATCTATTTTTTATTAAGAATGGTATGAGGCAATCCATATTATAATACAAAATATATCTTAGTTTAAATGCTCTAACAGTGTTGTTTTTTTTTTTTGTACTGCTTTCCCATCATCAAATTAATTTCTACACTAATTTTATTGCAATCTAAGATATTTTAAAGATAAATCAATCTGATTCATAATTCTTAAATGTTTTAGCCTAAGTCTGGGTTGACTACAGTCCAAATACCATGTAATTCTGACCTTATTGTAGAAGATATACTTAGTCCAGTCGGTGAGTACTACTGTTCATTTTACTTTTCCACTTCAGGCTAAGGGCCAAGTCGTGTTTTTGGATGAAAAGTTGGATGTCTTGATGATTTATCAATATTACCATCTTTTAAAAATTAAATCTGTCAAAATAAATCTTTTTGATGCACACCATGCACATCCCTGTAGACTGTAAAATATCATGATAAAATTCTTTCCATCCAAACCAAGGGTCATGAAATATTTTTTATAACACATGATAATTTATTTTATTTTTAGAATTACTGACTTTTATTTTCAATGATCAATTTGGTGGGGTTGATTGTTTAAAAATGAAATAATAGTCTGCAGAATTGCTTAATTGGGGAAAATGTAAATGCTGAATAACTTTTAATGACCATTAAAGTTAGCAATCCTATAATGCATGAAACAAATTTGTGTTGTGTTGAGCTCAATTTTATTGTTTTTCAATGAGCACATTTTGTGCTTTAAGCAAAAATAGTAACATAATATTCACAGACACAGAGAAGAAATAAACCTACTGAAATGTAACATGAATAATAAAAAAACCCAATAAACTCTCTTGTGCTTGCAAAAATAAAATTCAAACTCTAAATTTAGAGCATTTTTTATTATGACTGTGTTATAAAAGTTAATAAGGGGTTAATAGTTCATTGCTTGCATTGTTTTAGTAAGGACTTATTCTTACAGAGTATGGATCATTTACTTTGAAATGCTTTATATTGATAGTAAAGTATAATGGCCTACCTCAGCATTTTAAGATATGCACACCTGTGGAAAAGTTTCAAAATTTCACCAGGGGCCAGTGCCAGATTTATTAATTATATTTTCTTTTTATTTGACCATAAATATTGATGTTGTGCTGACTGGCAAGGTAAGGCTCAAGGACTGGTGTGTTAGGTGGACCAGCATTTAGAGAAGGTTGGTCTACCTAACTCACAATGAGCAATGAGAGTAAGACCATTACATTTATACATATTCTCTAGTTAAAAATCCATTTTTTAGATACGGAGCATCCTTCTTTATCTAATCATAAGCTGACCACAAGTTGTTCACCTGGGTACTATCCTGACCAGGTGAGTAAAATTCTCATGTATTTCATCTGGTGGTTATAATCAGTCAAAATTAGGAGTCAAATTGAAATCAATAAAATTATTAGAAAAACATTTAAATATGTTTAGCTAGACTTCTTTAATATTGTGTGGATCTATTGGCAAAGTTTCCCTTTAAAAATTCACTGTAAAAATAATGCCAAGGGAAGCCACTTCCAGACGTTACATCTAACAATACAATATGTTGTCACAGTTTCTTAATTGCAATAATCATAATTATTTTTCTGATTTTCATTAGCTGAAAAAGCACGTACAGAGATTAACATTTCAGAAAGTATAAAAATTCAGTATTAAAGAAAAATAATTTTGTCATATCATATATATTTTCATATAATATTGGATATTTTGACATACAGAATTTTAAATTATGATTCTATGGCATTTAATTTCATATAATTAAACAGTGCTTCTCAAAGTGGTGGTCTGCAAACCTGTGCTCTCAGTCCGTGATTTGTCTGGTTTGCAAATGGTGAAAAATTTAATAAGATAAGATAAAATAATTGTTAAAATATTAGGCACCAGCCCTCAAAGCAATTAGGATACATTAATTTGAGAAGCACTGTAATAATCAAATTAATTGTAATGAATAAAATGTTCTGTAGTCCGAAGTGTTGGTCAATCTTTTGGGAGATTCTTAATAATTATTCTTTGTTAACTTACAGATATGCCCACCACAGCCATTAATGTACTCTGTTGTCAACCCTCCCCCTCCAACATTGTCAGTCATATCCACCACTCTGCCATCACGGCATACGTCAACTCCGGCTCATGCCTCTATGTCATCCCATCATACATCAGCACTGCCCCATTCTGCAATGCCTGCTTTGGAACCCTCCCATATCCCTAACTTAAGTGGACTTAGTTTGAACAATTCCAATGTGACAACACTCCAAGATACTACCTGAGTTTCAAGACAGGATTAATTCGTTTATTTGCATCAAGTGCCGAGACTCAGACCTTCACTGACTGGTCTCAAATGTGTTGATTCATTTTTCTTCTGAATATCACAGGATATTGGACAGCTGTGCAACAACTATAATATGAATCAACATTTCTAACTGAAGATGTGAGATTTGTATTAATTTAAAATTATTTAGATGAAAACTGATTTGAACCTAATGTTTTGGTTGCACGACAGTTAGAAAAGCTGAGAAATGAGAGGGCTAAGAGTTTGGTATTTTGTTTTTATGAAGGATAACAATTTTTTTTAATAGCGTTACTTTTTGAAGTACAGAAGAATCGTTTAATAGTGGGGTAGTTATAGCAGGTTTTTAAAAATATTCTGTGTGAATGTTTGGATTTTTAAAAGCAAGAAGGTAGATGATTTCATTCTTTAAAAACAGATATTTTTAATTTTTTGTGGTCAGTAAGCTATGGTGTGTTGTCGTTGAACAAGTTTGTCAATTTCTGATAGTGTTGTATGAGAATACATATTTTATTCTCTTTTTTCCCCTCATACTTTGCTTTGGAGAGAGAAAGCAAGTGAAATTTTGAGATCCATGCTACGACCACGTTATAATACATGTTATATCCTAATTTGCTGTATCGCTGCATGGGGTTTCACTATATTCTTGTTCAGTTGCAACACTACAAGATAAATTTGGATTAACAATGACCTCTGACTGGGATACAGAATAATTTTAATATGGTAATAAGTATCATTAACAAAAAAAATGGTACATAGGATTCCTTTACAATTATTGCTAGAAATTCCTGTGTCGACATAAATATTTATTGCTCTTTATAATTTTAAATATCTTTATCAATAAAGCTAAGGTTTCTGATGAATTCTAGCAAAGGTTGTAATAGACTGATAATTTTTATAATGATAAGTCGAAGTTGTGGTCTAGTTTGGGCTTTCCGTGCTGCATAAAAAAATAGTAGATCTTCTACTAGAAGTTGAATTAGACAAGAGCCAGGCCTCATCCATCAGTCATCTTGTTGGTCATTAATGATGAGCCATTGATATATTTAAGTATCCCCAACTGTTAAAAAGAAGTTCAATAACTGAATAAAGTCCTGTTTTTAGTGTAGGCATTGTCACAAATTATTTTAATATGCCTAGGAACTTTTTTTTTTGATGACTCAATACTTTGTTAAGCTCATGTTCAGATTTTAATTATTTTTATTCTTCTTTTGTTGGCCATGCATATTTGCCTTTTTCAGTTAACTACAGTTAGATATATTTGGTCAGTGTTTGTTCTTTTATGTCAAGGTTAAGAATTTCAACTGTATTTGAAAACAATTTGACTTTGTTGAACAAATAGATAATTGAACGTTTCAAAGTAAAATATTTCATGACAAATTTGCGTTAAGTTTAAATTTAGTCAAACTCTTTTTAAATATGTCTTCTTTCTTAATGTCATCTGTTTTTTTAAACCTAATGTATTTTTAAATAAATGCTTACAATAAATTACATTATTCTAAATTCCATTAAAGGCTCTATTGTAATAGTTTTCACTTCTTTTTAGTGAACGTACTTGAAGTGGTTTATTTTTTGGGAGGCAACTAATCTGCATCTGTTGGGCTGTGTCATATAACAGCTTAATGTAAAAAAAATATATATATATAATGTATGGCTTGCTCATCATGCCCCCCTCCCCTTCAAGGGTCAACAAGTAACATAATATCTGGTGCTTGTGAGTAATGATGGCTGGTTGGATCCCTTTTGTCATCTTGCCTGTAATAGTCATCTGTTTTCATTTAAGTCTACTCACTTCAACTACTAAATGATGTGATGTACATGTAATGCAAAGGTTTTATATGTTTCATTAAATTAAAACAAACACAGCTACTACACTTGTGTCTCAGATGTGTCTTAGAAGACTTTTTTTGTTCAAAATATCATCATTACCGTATTTGAGCAAATTGACATCCAAAACAGTTGGAGACAACGGGGATAGCTTCAAGCACTGATCTAAAATGTTTTTAACCTTCACCCTTTGTTATTGTTGTTTTAAAGATGCAATCAAGGCAATGTCTAAATCTTATATCACCAATTTGTGAACGTTATTGTTGCTTTAAAGAAATTATTTATCACTTTGATTAATTTAATGCTAAATAAATGTTAATGTTTAATTTCTTTAAGTTATTCTTCAGATCCATGCAAATAGATCGCTATAAACACCATATGAAAGTCATGACAAAAGTTTATTGGTGACTCATGCCTAGTAATAATAAATCATAGTATATTCACTTTTTAGGAATGCTGTGTAGATGCTGATAATTATATTTTTATTATTAACTGAATTTTCGTTAAACAGATTTTCATTGCTGAAATTATTTCAAGAGAAAAGAAACTTTGACAGTTGTTAACTTTATATATTTTCAAATGTTTGATTTTATGGTTGCTTTAAAAAAAAATTGAATTTGTTAACTTGTATATGTGTATATATATTTAAACTTTTTAATGCATATTTCTTTCATCAAATTCATTGTTCTTCATGTAAAATTAAATTTTATTCCCAAATGTTCTCTCTCCATTGGTAAATATAATTTGAAGCCTACAATTAAATCTGTGAGCTACATGATTGATCATATCATACAAGTAATCTAGATGATTGGTCATTTCACACAAGTGAGCTATATTATATGATTGGTCATTTCCTACAAGAAATGTGTATGTTTTAAGAGTTTGTTGACACAAAGGTATGGTTTCTTGTATATTTATTTTTCTCACTTTTCAAAATAAAGAAAACCTGGCTGGTCAACACAACTATTTGATTTATTTATATATGACTCTTGACCGAGTCATTGTGTACATTTGTTCTGTCTGTAACAAGAGCTTAAAAAGTAAGGATATAAATTTAACAAATAAGGATTGAAATTTAGTTTTGGTTGCCTAGCTAATTTTTTTTTTTATTAAGAAAGAAGGAAACAAAACTATGCAAATGTCACACTATTTTAAGAATTTACCACCATTATTTTAGTTTGAAGTTGGCCTCAAAATTAATGAACAAATTTTAACCAACATTCCATTAACTATGAGTTATTTCTTCCCCCCACCTCGTAATAGTAACCTTTGAGCTGTGATTTTCACTCTAAATGGTAGCGTCCTCTTTTTGCAGAATTTAGGTACTAGCTCATCTCTGTGTATAAACTAATGACACAACTAAATAGAGATTACGAGCTTAAAAGTTGTGGAACTAAATAAAAATTTTCTGAGCATAATTTTTTTTCTATTCCTGAATCATTAATGAGACATCTTATTCAAATGACAACATGTTGAAATAAGATTTTATTTAAACAATTTAAAAAACTTCTTTTTAAACACAAAAAATATTTAATGCACATGGAATAACAATTTATACATCAGTTACATATTGCTGTAAATAATCAAATAATTTATTTCTCTGAATGTAATTTGGGTTTGTGCCAATTATTTTCAAAAACATTTGAAATTATTTTAAGAGTCAATAACTTACAATAATTTAAGTTAACTCATTCCCTCCTGAGCCCACACTTCCTGTTCAACTAAATTTTCCTGAACAAAGGGAAGCTACTCTGATTTCAATAACATATGTCTTTTTAATTTTTTTAAAATAATATTTAAACAGTAGTAAATTAAAATTTTAAAAGCATCTATGCACTAAGAAATGGATGAGCTTTCAGAAAAATATAACATTAGTGGTATGATTTCAATAACATATGTCTTTTTAATTTTTTTAAAATAATATTTAAACAGTAGTAAATTAAAATTTTAAAAGCATCTATGCACTAAGAAATGGATGAGCTTTCAGAAAAATATAACATTAGTGGTACAACAAGAACAAACTACCATACAAAATTTAAAAAATATCACAAAATTGGATTCTTACACATTTTTTTCAATGTTTAATTCAGCTGTAACTCAACTGTATTGGACAAATTAATTCTTTAAAGTGTCATGATATGTGCTGTTGCAATGTCCACCATGCAGATATACTTGGCACAGATTGCAGCCTTTAGTTGTCTCTTTGGTCCTGCCACTGGGCATTTTTGCCCCAACCACAGAACACTGGTAGCACCTTCTTTTTCTGCCTGGCATTGTAGAGATCATATGCTGGGGGCTGAATGGCATTGTTATGGCAAACCCTTTTTGATGAGGTTTCTGCCTTCATGGTCAGTAGTTGCTGAGCAAGCTTTGATCTGAACCTGAGGTGGTTCTGACTGAACGGGGAATTAGGGTTTATCCTCTTCATTAGAAGATAAGCGCTGATGATGGAGATCTGAATCAGGTACCGATACCAGAATAGATACCTCCACCATTTATGGCTTGGTCTACCAACAGTGTAATAAGACCGGTGCTGGTCTCCTAGGTCAACCCCGAACATGTATGAGTTATATGAATTCACGCTGTTGGGCATTTCGACTTCAACTATGAGTCTTTTTTTGTTCTTGGAACTGACGTCATGTCTGGGTTAGAATTTGTCGAAATCATGTTGACCTGACGTTTGTCAGTCCACTGGCAGGCTACCAGTAAACCCTTCTGTAGCATGGTGAACTCTCCTCTCTTTTGTTTGGACTTCTTTAGAGGCCAGCCCTTGCGGTTCGGCCTAATTGTTGCACAGCAGTATGTGTTCCGTGTCAATAGATCTTGCGCAAGTTTTGGCGACGAGAAAAAATTGTAAAAAAATCTTGTGGCCTTTATCCAGAAAGGGCTCAGTCATGGCCATAACATCGTAACCATTGTTAGAGCTCACCTCTCTTTTCCCAGTATAAACTTTGAAATTTAATATATTAGCTTCGGCGCAGCTCCATATTTTCAATCCCAAGCAGTAGGCTTGTCTTTCATGTACTGCTTGAAGGCAAGTCTTCCTCGAAAGCCTACCATGGCTTCATCCACACTAAGCTGACGTTGAGGCTTGTAAAGGCTCAAGCAGTTGTGTCTAACATGATCCAGAAAGGGGCTCACTTTGTAGAGGGGGTCATAATCTTGGCTGCCCTTTGTCGGTTGCAGCGAGGTATCGTTCACATGAAAAAAGCGGTGAATAATGTTGTAGCGGTCTCTACCCATGACGTCAGCCACTGCAGGAACCCTCCACATGTTGTCCGAAGACCAGTACAGTTTTCCATCTGGAAGTTGATGGAGGCTGAACATAATGTTTATATAGATGTAATTTTTAATGTCAGTGACATCTACTGGGAGTCCATAATTTTATTGTTGAGGCCTTGGTCCCAGACTGGTTGGCCAGTTGTTGCTGGGCATACAGATTGGTTTGTCATCAAAGCATTTGTTACGTAGAGTTTGAAATAGTCTAATGGTAGACTGTCAATAGGAACATCGTGAAGGCTCCCTATATATTCAGAAAATACAGTCATTTTTTTCTGTCACATTTGACAGTTCATCGGACCAGTCAAAGCTAGTTGAATTAGACGCAGTTGGACTATCATTTTCGTTATCAATATTCGTGTCATTGTTAGACTCACTGGATACTGAGTCCAGTTCATTATAATCAATGTCAGAACCCTCTTCTTCTATTAATTCTTCATTGCCATCCATTAGCGATTGCAGAAACTTAAATGCAATTTTATGAATGTCTCAAAAATATTCACAAAAAAATTCACTTCAAGGACTCGCTTGTCACAAGCTTTGAAAATGAACGCAACAAGATAAAAACTTCTATCCATTAGCGATTGCAGAAACTTAAATGCAATTTTATGAATGTCTCAAAAATATTCACAAAAAAATTCACTTCAAGGACTCGCTTGTCACAAGCTTTGAAAATGAACGCAACAAGATAAAAACTTCAGTTTTTTTAAAATTGAAATCTTGTGGAATCTCACTACAGCGTGGTTCTCATTAGAAATCTCGGGCATGTGTGATTTCATTATAAGATTGAAAGGAAAAGTAGGGGGGGTGTGACCAGACGCATTTAGACGCATCCGGAGGGACCCCCCAAGGACGCATTTAGTCGCATCAGGGGGGAATGAGTTAAAGGTCTCAAGAGCCATCATCAGAGATTTGTCCTCTTTTTTTTTTTTACAGATATGATTGAGGCTTAAGACAAGTCTTATAATGGTATCTAAAATCTAGTGAGCAAACTTATATTTGGTTGCAATTAATACAAATATTTATGTTGACAATAAATATTAGAAATACTTGGTATTTAATTGAGTGACAAAAAAATTAAACAAGAATTTCATGAGTATGAACAATAAAATATGATCTTCATTAAAAGTTAAATTAAATTCTTAAAATCTTTCATTATTATAAAACAAAATTTTACAATTTTTAATGACAAGGATTCTGTTTCAACAAAAGAGAACAAAAATGTTAATCTTTTTAAGGTCATTTAGGTATTTACATGATACATTTGTTTGAGCAACAAGTTACATCAGAATGCACCATGAAATTCATGCACAACACCTGTACATGTGTCAATTTAAAACCCATAAGAATTTTTACAAATTATTTAAATATTCAACATAAGAGAAAATATTTAGAGCCATCCCAAAGTGGAAACTGATTTATAGAGTGTTCCTGAATAATATGTTTTACAGTAAAACTGAACTGATAATTTAGCTTATTATAATATCTGTTTAAAATATTTAAATATATTTAAAATAATTCAACCAGCTGATGCTATAATTTAAATTTAGGCTTAAATCAATAACTGGATTCGGTTTCTAAGTTTTTATCGGTTTCTAAGTTTTTATCGGTTTCTAAGTTTTTATCGCTGATCTTTCTTTACTTTTTCTTTACTACTTTTTCAATATTAAATATGTACCTGCATATTGACTTTTAAATTTATATTTTATTTTTAATGATAGTAGTGTCTTTGAAACTGGGTTGACTTTATCTGTGAGTGAGCAAAAAAAACAACTGCTGAATGATTTAAAAAATTTATTTTAAAATGCTGTAAAAGTTTATGATGTACTTTAAGAATGATGTATTTTTTTTATATTTGAAAAGTATAGAATCTAATTCATTACAGTAAATAGCTGTTGCAATTTTATGTATAATAAATTAACAATTACAGCAGTAAATATTTTTATAAGTAGCAAGTCCAACGATACTTTGCTAATCAATCTATATCTCCATAAATGTTACTTGAGGTAAATAAACATCATTCTCTCTCTCTATAAGAATTTCAGCTCTTGAATAAGTCTATCAGCGACTTTTCACTGGTCCTGGATATTCAATGACAGCAGCTGCACCCATGCCTGTCCCAATGCACATGGACACCACACCATACGCTCTGTTAAATAAGAAATAATTGGTATTCAGTATCTATTAACTATACTTGGAACCTCCATGCAAAGAAACATCAATGAATAATTTCCAAATGGTTAAACCACATATTCATATAATGGTGAGTAACTTACTTTGGCCCTCGTCTTTTAAGTTCATGAAGAAGAGTCGCAATCTGACGAGCCCCAGTGCATCCAAGTGGATGGCCAAGTGCAATAGCCCCACCTTTGGGGTTGACACGTTCAATAGGAATGCCTAGTTCACGGACACAGTAAACTGCTTGACTTGCAAACGCTTCATTTATTTCATAAATATCAATGTCATTAACAGTCAGACCTGGAGATGAAATTGTATGTTGAAACACTGATGCTTCAAATCACATTCAAATATACAATCTTAAATCACACAAAAAAATTGTTAAATGCACTAGCTCAGACTAAACTTCATACAATTTTAGAAATGTTAAAATGAGTCCATTTTAAAAACAAGTTGTTTTTTCATCCCAAATTAGTTTTTGTTTACAATCAACCACTACATCATATTTTTAATTTTAAAATAGGGAATTAATTGCAACTTAATTATCATTTTAACATTATTATTATTTTCTAATCACATGTTCTAGGAACAAAAATTATTGGAGTCAAATTAGTTTAAATGACAACAATGTTTAAAGCAACCACATTTGAGAAAGGCAATAACTATTTAAGAATCACCTTGATAATCTTATTGAATGCCAAACATGAGATTTATTACAATAATAATAAATTGTATTTGCCCAATCTGTATTTTTGTTTCCTATTAAATGTAAAAAATCTATGAACATTATGTTTGGACTTTAATTCTCAATTGCCATCAAAAACTCTTTTGACAACCAATGATTGTTGTGTTAGCCTTTTTTATTGAGATGCATGATATCACATTATCTTTACCAGCTTTCTGTAGTGCCAATGGGATTGCAACTGCTGGTCCTATTCCCATGATATCAGGAGGACATCCCTTAACAGCAAATGAGCGAATGATTCCCAAAACAGGCAAATTTCTGCGGTTGGCTTCTGCACGTGACATCAAAAGAACAGCAGCAGCACCATCACTGACTTGACTTGAATTCCCTATAAAATCAAATTAAAATACAAGAAACTTTAAACCAACACATTTAGTAGCTATTCCATCATAAAATTGTTAAGATTTTCAGTGTCAAATTGATACTTTCTTACGATTCCTTGCACATTTATCACTCATGAAAGAGTTGGAATGATATATATTTGGAAAAATCAACTTGTTTTGATGATACAAATGCCCAGAGTTGGCAAACAGCATAATTTACTCTGTTTAACAAATAAAATGACAGTCAAACTGAGCAAAGCATATGGCCTTAACTTACCAGCTGTTGTACTTCCATTTTCTTTAAATGCTGGTTTCAATTTTGCCAACCCTTCTAGAGTTGTGGGACGAATGCCTTCATCTTTGGTAACCTTAACATTAGCATTAGAATATTCCATCAACATAGTCAGAATAAATTATAATAATATAATGTATGCACATTTGATACAAAACAAAGAAGATTGATAGCAAGCAAATTTTACCACATGTTTTTAAAGATCTGTAGTTTACTCAAAACTACATTATTTTAAACTTTTTAGCTTGTTAACTTTCCAGCTACATTTTTCCCATTAATAGTAAGAAGTATTAGTAGAACTGCTGCATGCAAATAAGACAAAGTTAAGGTAAGCAAAGAAATTACAACAACAAGATTAAGGATAGTTAACTAACCGTAATTGTTACTTTTTGACCATTTTTATCCTCAACAGTTGTGGTAACTGGAACAATCTCAGCATCAAACAAACCATCATCTGCTGCCTTCTTAGCTCTTGAACACATTAAAATAATGATTACTAATGCATCTTTACAGAAAAAAAAAATAAGCCTACATAAAATAATAATGGTTCATATACACCCCTTATAAAGATTAAAGTTTTTGATTCTCCAATGTAAATACTGCTGCTCTACAGTATGTCACAAAATAACATACTATAGAGAGACCCCAATAGTAATTTACATTAAATGTAAGGTGGTATATCCCACAAGAAAGAAAGAAAGAGATGAAGAAAAAATGTCAGAGCATGTTATTATGTAACTGACTAATACGTAATTTTCAATTGGATTGACCTACTTAATTTGAGAACTGTAGGCAAACTCATCTTGTTGCTGTCTTGTAACTCCAAATCTTTGAGCCACATTTTCTGATGTGATACTTACAAAAAATACATTTTAATAAAATTCAGGTGAAGATTATAATATAGATTACCAAATACAAGTTTTGTCTTAAACTCCAAGCCTTTCTACTCCTCTTTACTTTGTTTTTGACAAGTTTTAGCGCCCTCTCCTATTTTTGTCTGTTTTAGGTAGGATATGTATATTTATATTATGTAAATTTAATTTATACTTATTTAAATGTGTTTTGTTTGTTTGTACTGATGAAGGCATATGCCGAAACGTTTACTTGTGTATAATGTATAATTAATATTAAAGTGTAACTTATATTGTTATATTGACACAATTTGTTCGTGTCTTATTAATCTATTTTAAAGCTTTATTGCAGTCCAACACTTTTTATAGTCTAGGAGAAAACATACATAAATCAAATGGTACATGTACTTTAAAAAAAAAACATATTAAAAATAGAGATAAAGGCAACTGCTAACATTTTGTGTGAATGACAGTTCAAATAATGCCTAATAATATTTGCCTATGTATAAAAAAAAAAAATTTAAAAAAAGCTTTGTCCAAATTAATTTCAATTAACCATATTTCATAAAAAATGCTCTCAATGCGAGACGTTTTCTTGATCTTGGTACCAATGCTGATAATTGCTGCTTTTAAAATCATGTTTAATATATTATAAGCCTTACCCCATGGGTAACAAGACATCCTGTGTTAACTGACTCTCTCCGATTCTGGGATTAAAAGCAATGTTTTTAGCTCCCATACCATATGTACTCAATGATTCAACACTGTGAATGAGAAGTGAAGGGTGCAAAGATAATTCAATATTACCACATCTAAATAATGGTTTTATGGATTGTGCAATTAGTACTTTTTATAAAATCATAATTTAATAGCTATTCTGAAATTTAACAACTTAATTACATGCATAGACATTATATTTTTCTACATATAACTTTATGTGGAAAACAATTACTCTAAGGTTAACTTTATGGTGCCTCACACAATCCAGAGGGTAGGACAGAATTACATGTAAACTCAGATGAATGCCATAATTTTCCTTGGAAATTAAACAACAAAAAAGTAGGGACCAAGGTTATGGATTGCCTTTGACAGGGGTCTGCAACCTGCGGCTCGCGAGCCGCATGCGGCTCTTTTGATGTCAAGATGCGGCTCTCCAGTTCCATGCGCAAATATTAATAATTATATTGAAGTAAAAATGTTAGTAGCTCTTGAAAAACTGGGAAATTTTGTAAATTGTAACTTTTGGCTCTTCCGTCTCAAAAGGTTGCCGACTCCTGGCCTAGGAGCCTCTAATATAGCAAGTCCAAATATTTATACCAATGTTACGCACTGCCTTCTATAGTGAGAACTTAATCTCTTATATTAATTTTATGGCTCGTTCAAACAGTGCATAACAAAGGACGATACCATAGATGGAATACAATAGCAAAAATACGACACTCAAAACAGTACTAATTAAAATTAATATGATTTATTTAAGTATTAATATAATTGCAAACAAAAGAAATATAATTACAATCATCAATTTATAGAGTATGGTAGATCTTGTACGGGTACACGGCTAATACAATGTGCCAATTAATAATGTACAATGATGAATGCGAATAAACACATATGAGTACACACAATAATACACTTGTCTCGTGAGCTAAAAATATCTATCAATCAATCTCCCGTCTTTCAATTCCCCGGCTTTATATATGGGTATCACCTGTTTCTAAGAAGATTCAGGGACAGAATATAAATTGTAGTCCTGACTTGAATCTTCTCCATATTTCTATAATTTACTACAATTTTGTGCCACCTTCGAGTCAAGACAAACAGGCGATAAATTGTTCTGTGGTAAAAAAAAAGATCAAAAGAAATAGGCCACGCCCAATACGAACGCAGTCTAATTTGGGGTCAAACGGAGTTCATGGCACAAGGAAAGTGTGACGTAAACATGTCCTAAATAACAGGGAAATTATGTCTAAAACTTACTAAGTTTGCTAAGAATTTCTAAAGAAGTATAAACATTTATCACATTAATCAATACATCACAACTAACCAAATTTTTGAAAGTCACTTTTCAGACAGAAAATTTTCTAGTTGAAGATCTAAATTGATAACATAATAATTTTCTATTCAAGAATTTTATCCTTCTTACCCTCCAGCTAGTCCAATGTTATAAACTCCATTTTTTATATTCCCTGAAATAAAGCACACACACAAAAAAAAGTTTTATTACTCATATTTTTTCTAATCCTAAACAATTTGTGATATTTTTAAAAAAATGTCTCAACCACAGCAGCCAAACAATGGGTAGAAAAAAAATCCACAATTTTAAATAAATACTGAACCTGCAATATTCATAACAGCGACAAGACCCGAAGAACATTGTCTGTTTGTGGTATATACAGGAACTTCCTGAGGAATGCCACTGAGGAAAAAACATTTCAAGTTCATTTATAATTAATGGTTAGTAAAATATGTAACACACAATAAAAAATTGTCTGGTTAACTCACTGTAATTCTTTATGGTATAAATATTTCTAAGAGTTCATCCTAAGGATTTTTAAATTATTAAATCTCTACCACCTAAGTTTCTTTGGGACCATTGGGCATTATTGGCACAAAGGACCTATAATTAATTTAAAAACTGGGGCACCCCGGACACCCTTGAGTAGCTCCCAACCTCACCAAAAGGTGGGCAATAAAAACTAATAAATGTAAACAGCTCATTGGGTGGTCCCAAAATATAAAGGGCTAAAATACAAGTAAAATATAATCTACTGCTGAGTTTTAAGTTCAAGTATTTAATTTGTATAAATTGTGAGATGCAAGTATTTAATTTGTTAAATTTCAAAAAGTATACTTTTAACCTGTAAAACTGGGCTAATCTGGCCGTCAGTGCTGCTGCTGGATCTTGCACATTCCCTGGTTGGACAGAATCAATGAAATAAGCAAATACCTACATCATATACATATCAAGTATTCTTAAAAACCCATTATTTTCATCAATAAAATACAATCAAGAAACATATTTGCGCCATCACTCGTCTGAGACATCTGTCTTCCTCTCTGCTCTCCCACCCCTATGCTCCACCTCTGCTAAAAGATTTCAACACTGAAAAAAAAATTAATAAACTTACCACATGACTAAATCTTACACTGATGTACATCTACGTACTAAAACTTACCAACACAGATATCACCTAAATCTCTGGGGTCGATTTTCGAATCATTAATAACAGCTTTGAACACAGCTGCTAATAAGTCATCACCAAGTGTGTCCTAGATAGAATGTTGTTAATGTAATAGAAGGGTTTGGAAGAATTCTTTTAAATCCATTTGAAGCATTCTTTTAAATACAATCCATTATCGGTACTCACCATTGTCTCTTATATTAATATATGAATAATTTTAATGTATGTCTTCAAGGAATAGCATAAAATAAAAATTACCATGGCAAAGGGTCCTACAAGGCTAGGGATGGTAAAACTAGGAGGCTCTAAAATTATTGATGTTAAAAAAGGGAATTTTGATAGTAAGCTAAATAAAATATGTGAAATTTTAGATATATTTAAATTCTTTTATTTTGATAATTAAAATGTTTTTGAATTTCTGTTTAAACAATGGATAACATATGAGGGATTGCGATCAAGCCGTGTAAAATAAATATTGGAGCAAAATATCTTTAGGCTTGAAAAGAAAAGACAGGACAATTTGCTGTTTAAGAAAAACAAAAACAAAATAAAAATATAATAGAAAAACAAAATGGGGTGCTAGAGTCTGGCTTTGAGGTCTTGAAACTTTGCTACAGGCCAAAGAGCTAAATTCATTATTGCTTTGACCCTATTGTATAAATGTTTTTTTTATATCATGAATGTTTCAAGATTTTTAAAATACGAGGACTGCATTCAAGCCATGTAAGTTTTATTTTTTTAATATAAATTTATCTGTTGTTTATTGTTTGCTGAAGAAGGCATCAAGCCCAAACATCCTCCTAATTGGCTTGTTATTATTTTCAGTACCAAAATATCTTCTTCCACTATTTATCAAGATTTTTAAAAGTATGATCCTTTTTAGCATTGCATGCTTATATATGTTTTTAATTTTTAGTGTGCGTTATTTAAGAAAAAAAACAACCTGAAAATATTTAGACAAAAACAATAAATGTGAAATTATATCAAAAATATAAAAAATAATAGTCTACCTATAAAATAATATATAAACACCCCCACCTCCCCAAGAAAAAAAAAATGTTAACATAAAATTGTTTGGAAATTTTACCTTGAAGTATCCCCGCTTGGCTTTTCCAATGGGTGTTCTTAAAGCTGAAATAATGACAATATCATCAGATCTGTTTTCTAGTGAGCAGGCTTCTGGCTTCAGAGATAAGGAAGTATCAGCTTTAATGTGGTTAAAAACTGCCTGAAGTCTGTTGGCCATTCTCTATCTCTAACTAGAGTTGGTAAAATAATTGAAAAAAAAAATTATAGTTTTAAATATTTTATTCTTTAGAATAAATTAACATTTATGCCTATATATATATAATATAGTTCATCAGTCGAAATCGACTATCGATCTTAATCATAGTATACGCTTATTGTGTACTTGGCTGTGGGTACAGTAAGTGCAGGGGACATTTCCACGTGCAGAGTAAACCCTGACTTTTCTGGCATGTCTTTTGTGCTCTGCAGTCCCAGTTCTGTTGGCTTCATGTTGTATGGAGCCTTTGTGTACAGAGGAAACGCCACGATGCTCAGTCCTTTGCCGCTTCTTCCCATGTGTCCGGGTCTATATTGAACGCTTTCAGTGAGGCTTTAAGGGTGTCTTTAAAGCATTTTTTCTAACACCAGCAAACAGCCTTCCATGTTCATGCTCACCATAGAATATTTTTTGTGGCCAGCAGTACTCTGACATTTGCACATGTCCCGCCCAGCGAAGCAGGGACCGCATTAAAGGGGTAAATATACTGCAGAGACTTGGCTGTGCAAGTACCTCAGTGTTTGAGACCCTGTCCTGCCATTGGATGTTTGGGTTTTTTTTCTGAGACTTGTCACATGAAAGTGGTTCAACATTTTTGCATGTCGGTGATAGATTGTCTACAGTCATAGAGAAGCGCAGGGAGCACAGCCACTATGTACACATTCATTTTAGTTTGAGTGCTGATACCTCACCTGGTTCATACATTCTTAGACAGTCTGCCATGTGTTGCACTGGCTCTTGCAATACGAAGATTGACCTTGTCATCAATAGTGCTGCTTTGGGACAGTGCCAATGTATGAGTGTGAGAAGCCAATTACCAATGTAAGCCTCTCGCCATGTACTTGAATGTTGGGCTCATCATACGTACTTCAAGTAGCTGATTGGAAAAGGACTTTTTTTGTGTTAATGGTGAGACCAAAATTTGTGCTGGCATTGGAGAAATCAGTAACACTGTTTTGGATATCGGATTCTGTTCCAGCAATTATGGAACAATTTCATCTGCATTAAGAAAATCCCTGGTGATTTCTGTCATGACCTTGGATTTGGCATATAGCCTCTTGAGATTTAATAGCATACCATCAGTACGGTATCTGAGACCGATTCCATCATCCCCCTCTCTGAAGGCATCAGTCAGCATAGAGGAAAACATTAGGCTGAAAAGTGTTGGAGCCAGGACACAAACACAACCATGTTTGACATCATTTGCCAATTGTCACATGGAATGGTTTATACGTCCTTCCATGATTTATGTTTATTAATGATTAAATTTTAAAAAATTGTTTTAATGAATAATTCACCAAACCAAGAGAAAACAGATTTTTATCAATATATGATGTGATATGTTAGTACAAGATCCTAAAAATAATATGGTTTGAAAAGATCTCAAATAAGATCAATCAGATCATGAATGATATGGAATATGAAAAATCACGAAGTATTCCTGTGGTCAGTGGGGTACTGTGGAGGAGTAAAGTAAATAGAGAGAAAGAAATAGCGAGAGATGGATTCTCCATACTCATACACTGCTGAGTCACTGAATAAACCAAATGTTGTTGTGGGTTCAGTAAAGAGAAGAAGTACATGACATGGGGACATGGATTCCGAACACTTGGAAAAGGTAACTTGACAGTGAAAGAGTGAGAAGAATGGCAAAATTATGAATGAGCTGGGGTTAAAAAAAACTCTGAACAGAGATAACTGGAAAGAATTTGTAGCAATAGAAATATAATTTGTATTAATAGTAATAAGTAATAGCATTTGATTTCCCATTTGGAGCCTTCTAGCCTACTCAGAAAACATGAAAACAAGATTCCTACTATATATGACCATGGCTATCCTATGACTATGGAAATTAAATGGATGGTCAGTCTTAGCAGTTATAATTTATAATGAATTCTGAATAGACATACAATTTTTAAGTACAATGTAAGCAGCAGAGTTTCGACTACGAAAAAGTAGGCCTAGACTAGACACACAAAGTTTGTGAAAGAAATGTGGAGTCAGATTTGGACTTCGTAGACTTACGTAGAAACAACTTCAATTTTCAACTAGAGAAGAAGTAGAGTAGAGTCTCTAACTCTAGTTATTATTACTATTACATTACATGTTAATGTTAAAATCATTGTATAATTGAATGCATTTTATATTATAACGGCACGGTTTACTCTTACTGGCTTACTCACTTAATTTGAATTACGAAGGGTGTCTTAATCATGTAATCTTTTTAACTCTTACTCTACTCTTAATCTTAAACTACTTAAATTGAACGCCATCCATTTACCGTAGTGCCGTGTAAGTGTCACTGTAGGCATATCATTAAATTTACGAGTTGAGATTATTTAATAAATTTAAAAACTTTGTCTTATACTTATGCTAATAATTTTGTCAAACTTACATTGTTATAATAATGTTACCGTTATAATTTCGTATTTTAATGGGCAAAAAATATGAAGCAGGTTGTGCTAGTATAATGAAAATAAAATAACAATCTTCGAACTTTGCTCCTTTTCAATGTTGTTATACTCATAGGTCAAAGTTTAACAATGTGAACATTTAATGAAACATGAATAATGTTATTTCAAACGCTACAACATCCATTCTCCCATGTGGTCTAGTGGTTAGGATTCCTGGCTTTCACCCAGGCGGCCCGGGTTCGATTCCCGGCATGGGAATTTTTTTTAACCTTTATTGCAAGGTGAAAGTTTTCCTTTGTTTGACTGCATTGAATAATGATTAGAAATTATAAATAGTAACGAATGTTTGGAGAAATAATTGGACCTGTAACCGTTATTATTAAAATTATAATAAGGTCTACAGTCTACAGAAAGTAAATTTGTTCATAATCATATAATTTATGATGCATGTTAATATCAATAATATCATCATTAATAATTAAGTCGTAAGAAATTTTAAAAATATAATTGTCATAATTGTGTAAGACAGGGTAATAAGGGGAGAAACTGTGTAAGACAATGGCAATTAGGTACTTTTAATCACTTTTCCAAGCACCCCAAGTCGGAAACCCCTGTTCAATGTTCTAATTCTAAACCAGAGAAGTCAAGTAAAAGATCTTTAAAATAGGTCGCAGTTTACTAGTTGAGTCAATAGGGATTATTCAATTTCACATTACAACATACAGGTTCGGTCCGACGTTGGCTGGTGCCTTGTGCAAGCTTAACGCTGGAGTCCTGTCCAAGCTTAACGCTGGCGCCTTGTGCAAGCTTACCTTTAGAGCCCCTTTTAAGCATAATCATCAACGGAAAAACTAGTTAATCCGTAATGATTTTATTACTTATGTTTTTTTTAAAACAAACAATGAACACTAAAATTGTTTTTGTTTACATGTATCATCATATTTTGTTTATTGCACTTTCTATTTTTCTTCCATGGCGCCGACATGCAATGCGTTTTCCTATTTTTGGAAGATCGTTGATAGCGCCCTAAGCACACGGCGTGTACAAAAAGTTAGAATACCGTTTCTCGACCCTGGACCCGAGGTTCACACTTCACTGTAATAAAATAAAGGGATTTAAATATTTACTGGCGCCCCTTTGGCCACGGCACCCTGTGCGAGGGCACTGGTCGCACACCCCAAAGGCTGGCGTTGCGAAATACTACATTTTAAAGACTTAACATGAATGCTCCATAAATATTTTTAAGAGTAGGCCTACCAGAAAATAATAACATCTTATCCTTAGTAGTTTATTTATATTTTATATGAATGAACCCACCATCGATCTACCATTAAATTTAATTCAAGACATTCATCAACCAGGTCAATCTGTTGAAAAATCTATCAAATACCAGTCTAAACGCACTAAAAAATTAAAAAGTAAAAAATAATTTAACATTTAATTAAAATGCATTGCGCAAAGATAGACTGTCCTGAAGTGAAGATTAGCTCTCAATGTAGACATAGGATTCCAATTGAATGTAGACGAAACTTAAATTTTTTTATTATTTATTAATTTTAAAAAAATTTGTCTACACACACTATATTTGTGTAATGAATTTTAAGGATTTTAAAATTATTTTAAATTTTTTAAAATTATTTTCTCTTTTTTTTTGTTAAAAAGTTTTTAAAACATTTTTCATTTGCTACTTTTTAGTATTAAAATTGTAATCTTTAAATTATCGACCAAAGAAGAATTATTTACTTTTTTTAAACATCGAATGCTTACAAAATTCCGATTGAAGATACTTAACTCATTAACTAGGCATAAAACTTTAAAAAGGAGATCTGAGCTAACCCACCTACCCATTCACTCATCTACGAAGCAGGCGCGGTCAATCACGATAATTTGAGCGACAGTATCAACCCGCCTCCGTTGACCCAGTTCCCCAGCCGTTTATCAGGTGAATACTGGGCGAGAAAGCTTAAAATGTCGCATGTATAAAATAAAAATAATAATAAGGATCCATCCACACATTCACATACAAGATGGAAATGGGAGTAGAGAGAAAGTCTATTAGTAATGAGGATGAGGCTTTGGTAAGTTAGTAGCTTCAATTGGGGCAATGTCGAAATCTATATAGGCCTAACGTATACTCTTGTTCAGGGTTTTGCCAACCTTTCACATATTCTGCACCCACATAATTGTTTGTCTAAGTCTAGCACTTTCTATCATATACACATGGACACGTGCGAAGAATTGTCAAAAGATTGAGCATCGTAGCGTTCGTCTTCACACAAAGGCTCCATACAACTGTAATACATAAAGCCAACAGAAACGCAGCTGCAGATTTTAAAAAGACAACAAGAAAACCGCGGGTTAATTCTGAACCTGGAGATGTCTCAACCATCCATTGCACTAATTACTAACTGCACAAGAACATTTTGGGTCAGAATAGGTCTCATCAGCCATCTGCGCACCCCCAGAATGAATCCGAATTTTGATCAATTTCGACGGACGAACTGGCAGATATATATATCCTATAGCTGGTGGTGTAGGAAGGTTGGTGGTGGGGTTAACACAAATCTTAGCCCAAACGACGCTAACTCTAACTATGCCCGTGGGAGCAAAATGACGTAAAGAGCCTAAATATAACCTCGCACCCGCTTATGCGTGAGCAGTGAGCACCCCAAGTTGAGAAATCAAGCTCTTCAGCTCATCAACAACATTGAAATTAGATTTAAGTCTAACTGAATAATAATTACTACTGTATGAAATATTTATTTATTTGTGATCACACCATAAGTGACAACGAACGATTGTCTTTTGTATTTATTATGGAAACAAACGGGGTGCGGTTTTGGCGGGGGGGGGGGGGGGACCATTTTTATTTTTAAATTTTTATTCACATCATTACTCAGCAGTGAAAGTGCACTTTATAAAAATTTCACACCATAAGTGACAACGAACGATTGTCTTTTGTATTTATTATGGAAACAAACGGGGTGCGGTTTTGGCGGGGGGGGGGGGTGACCATTTTTATTTCTAAATTTTTATTCCCATCATTACTCAGCAGTGCAAGTGCTCTTGATAAAAATTAGACTAGAGTAGAGCAGATGATGTGAATTCCTCTTAGACATCAGCTGGGTCAATTTATGATATGTCATAGTCATATTATGTGCTGTCGAAAATAACTTCACGATCTGGTGACCTGCTCTTGTACTCAGCTGACTACTACTTCTAACTTCTATGGATGGGTTGTGAAACCGATCTCGACCCTACGCCTACTACTACACTGCTAGAGGGGATTTCTGTAAACATTATTTTTCATATTGGTTTCGACTCCCGTAATTTAGTGTAACATCTGCGTTGTTACTTGATGACAGTTGATGCAACCCTCCACTGGCCAATGTATCCCATCGTTAAAAAGTTCGATATTTACCCTTTTGTTTTTGTACTTTTGTTGTATTGCTATTAAGACATTTTAAAGCCGTTGATATCACGCAATCAACAAATGACGTAAATCAATTTTCCAAGGTTGGCTCAAATAAGCGATGATGGTATCAAATATTTTTTATATTAAGTGCCAAAAACTCGTTTTACCCACTTCGCGCGGTTCTGATCCCAGGTCCAGGATGTACATTTTCACCAGAAAAATAAAAATGAAACTGTATTACATCTATGCAGAATTTGTAAGTTATGTGAAAGTATGTGCTGACCCAGACGTTAGTAATTATTTCATTAAACAATTTCGTTTTGACCAAAACAAAAACGGTAGCGTTGTCGGCAGGATTCGAACCTGCGCGGGAAGATCCCAATGGATTTCTAGTCCATCGCCTTAACCACTCGGCCACGACAACTTGATAATTGTCGTTAGAAAAATTAATAATCATGTCAATAAATTTGTTTTCTCTAGAAAATACTTTTTAGTTGTTTGAAAATATTATAAGCTATATGTTGTCAATTTATATCCATAAACCTATTCATAACAATTTATACGATATTGTTCATTTTAATTTGACATAGTTTCATCCATAACTAGTGTATGTTAAATCCGAGTTTGTTTTTTGGGTTTATGGATAGTGAAAGAAGATTAGAAAACTACTATGTCCGGTGACATAATTCTATCAGCGCATGCGCTAAATAATAGTTTGATATCATGATTGTTTCCTGATTTTATGGTGTATTGTTTTCCGAGAATAACTAAGTGAATTTCGTCAAATGGCTTGCTTAGCCAATTTGAGACATGATATACGCGTTCTCGAAACGAACTTTCCTAAGACACACAATCGTTTTCAAATAAGAACAGCAACAGTCGATGAAATAACCTGTCGTTTTATTGGCAGAAATGGTGAACGATATGATGTTCAAGCCAACATAACGGTATGCTGTTCAGTGTCAGTTGTCATCAGTTGTTATTGTTTAACAATGAAAGTGACTAAACAATTCTTAACTTATTTTTTTTTTAGACTTAATTTTTGTTTAAAGTTAAATTTATAAAATTGGTCCATACCAAGCATACAGAACTATCATGTCCTATAATCAAAACTTCATAAATTAATGTAAGATAAACTGATCAGTCACATAATTAAGAATAATAGATTCTTTAACTTTATAGTATTATTATTATTATAATTATGATTGTATCCAAATAAGTGGACTTTTTAAAATTACTTTGTAGATATTCATTTTCGGCACATAGATTCATTTATAAATGCTTATTTAAACCAAGAATGTAAACACAAGATATCTAGCCCTAGGCACCCTAGCATAGAAATCAGCCGTCAATGAACTCATTCACATTGCCTTGCCTTTGCCTTTAGTCTTTAGTCCTTGCCTTCAGACTTTGATGGGCTTTAGTCAACAATAATTACTTAATTAGTGATCATTTAGATTTGGTGAATGCTGGGGAGCATGCTAGTAAATTTGTACAGATTGGGGATCAAATTAAATAGATTTTATGTCTTTCGGTTGTTACTTTAAGTAGAGAAAGAATTCGCCCTGCTACTGCTTGAGTTTGAGCCGATGTCTTAGAGTTATCTGTGATGAATAGGGTGGGATGTTTCATCCAAACTCATACAGCATCACACTAGGCATATTTTTTCAAATAGTTCTTCAAGTCAAGGATGTTTAGTTTGTGTGATATTACTAGCTTTCTTGATTAGTCTATTTAATCGGTGCTTGATTTCAGATGATCAATTCCCACACCAGCAGGTAATAATGAAAATTAGTAGACTTCCAATTGTTGCACTACAGAATAAGTTAATAACTTTTTTGTTTACGCCAAAATTGTACAATTACGTACAAAGATAGAAATGTCTTTGGCTTACTTTTTTATGCAGAATTTGGATGTGTTCATGCCATGTCAGCTTACTATTAATGGTGCCACCTAAGTAATTATACTTATATGTCTCTACTTACTCTATAATGTGATTATTTATTGTGAGATCTGCAAATGGGTGATTCCCACTCCAGAAAATGACAAGCATTTGTTTCATATTTGAGACTGAAGAAAATTTTCATTGTACCAACTGATAACGCTTGAAACTAAGTTGGGGTAAAAGCATTTCCTTTCAGAAATTAAGCCAAAGATGGTGGTATCATCAGCAAATTTAATGATGCAACGGTGTTACTTGGGCTCTGGATATCATTGGTATATATTGTGTACAGGACAGGGGAGAGAGAGCAAAGTTGTGTCGCTGCTGTACTTATTTCTCTAGTTAATGATATTTGGTCATTCACCTTGACATATGGCGATTTGTTAAAAAGTTCAGTATCCACGCTTGAATATTTGAATTAATACCTAATGACGAAAGCTTTTTAATCACAAGGTGTGGTTTGGATATTGTTAAATGCTGATAAGAAGTCTAGGAAATTCACCCTAGCATATTTTTTAGGACTGTCTAGGTCTTTCCAATAATAGTAAGATGGCATCTAAGGTACTTCTGACAGATTTACAAGCAAATTGGTGGGGTCAAGTTTAAGCTGTTCTTCATTTAAAATTTGTCTGAGGAAAAGTTTCTCAAAATATTTCATTACATTAGAAGTAAGTGTGAGAGGACATAAGTCGTGGTTGCCAGTGACTTTATTTTTCTTTGGATCTGGTATAAATTCTGAGTTTCATAAGATTTATTATATATGTAACAAACAATGTGAGAGGGCTGTTCTGAGCAGATCCTCATCCTTTTAATATGTCTGGCACTGAGGCCTTGGCTGCATTCACTTGTTTAAATACCGACATCATGTCCTATTCAGTGACAATAATTGATCATGGTGTGTAATACTCCTATCATTAAAAGAAATTTTATAATGTGCAGATTTACAAAATCAAAAGTGTCAAAACTACAAAAAAATTCATTTCTTCTTCTTCTATATTTTTAGGGTCCACGATCAATGCATTGATCATTCTGGCTCCTAAGTCATTTACAAAATTTTTCACATCCTTAACACATGAGTATTCATGCTAAGGTATATAATATATAACCTGTTATTTGTTTGAGTCCAGCCCAAAAGGCCTTGGAGTTGTTTATAAAATTCTTGTTGGCTAGTCTTAAATATTTTTTTCTTGTGGAGTAAGGCCTCCCTTATTTCTCTGCTCATCGAAGGTTTTGTTATTTTTTAATACTTAGATTGTTTTTATGGGAATAATTAAATTTATACAGAATTTTGTAAATATTTTGACGGTGTTTGAGTTCATAAATATCTGGGCAAGTGTTTATTAAAGTATCACAATCTGTTCTTTCCAGGCAGCCTTGGAGTTATTCTGTCGCCTCATCTGACCATATTTCAATAGTTTTTGTTTGAGTATTGTTGTTTTTAAAACTGGTTTGTAGCACGGCTTTAGGCAAACCATTGTGTGATCAGATTCTCTTAGTGGACATAAACTGTAAAATGTGTTAGCCTTTTTTTATACTTCCATAACATATGTCTAGAGTTCTGTTTTTTCAAGTGGGGCATGTAACATACTGGGTTTTTGTCTGCAGATATTTATTAGTACTACTACTGGACTTACACTTTGACTTACAGTTACTTGCCCAGGCGTAGTCATCAATTTAATATTTAGTCTTAGACTAGAAACTTGTTACTTAGACCTACTCTTTAGCCAGGCCCAGCTTACTTCATACAACTGACATTCATTAGCCTAGTTAATAAGTTTAAGGCCTACCACTCAGTTGCCTAAATAAGCTCTACTAAGAAAATGGGATTAGTGAAGACATATAAAATAACCTCTATTATGGTCAGTGTATTGGCCTTGTGTATAAAGTCTAACTTATGAGTAAGTTATAAGTATTAGTAAGTCAGTAGGCCAGAGTCTTCTTAGACTGAAGGTTAGGCCTTACTTATAGGAATTACTAGTTTTAGGCACTGGCATGGTATTAATATTAATTGTATTAATGGTATGATTGTGAATTGTAGCTCATTAATTGGGGCATTAAGATGATTAGCCCCAATAGGCTTACTATTTAGGCTAACTTCATACCTTTTTCATTTTTCTTTATTTTCATATCTAAACAGTTTTCACTAATCCTCTACTCTTAAAGATCCAAGTATCCAAAAGTTTACATTAAAATGAAAAAAATAATGTGCAGCAAAATATAGAGGGGAATAGCACTAGGCAAGATTCATAAAGAGAATAAAGCTCTTTCATTTCCCACAAAATTGGGCATAAGCTGAGATGTGCACTTGACTAATGGCTGCTTGTCCAAGTTCAATAAAATTTGACATCACAAGGACAAATTATACATTGACTTGAGAGAGAAAATTTAATTGCCATAATGCTACTTATACCAGCAGTATATTAACAATTTACTGTATTTTAATTGATTTTTTCATTGTCTTTATATTCTTCCAGTAACATGTGTTTCCTAAAAGTTTGTAAATAAAATTTGTTTTAATAACTAAAAGAATATTTTCTCTTTCCAGGAAACTTATCCTCAGTCCCCTCCTATTTGGTTTAGTGACAGTGATGATGTGGGAGTTGTGGGTATAGTAGGGGAATTACCAAATACCCCGAAAGAACATTATAATGTAAGTTATTCACATTAATTGGAATAAAATTTGACGTAACAAATATCATAATCATAATAGTAAAGCTGGTTATATTTACTAAGTTAATTAAGAAATGTTATTTGTAGTTGAGTGGTTAATACATAACTGTACAGTTAAAAGAAAAGTACAATAAATTGTTAAATGTCAGACTTAATATGTTCAAGTGTCTCTAGAACTTTCACACCCAATACTGCACTTCTAAAATGATGCAAATTGTATAAATAATAAAATAGTCAATTTTAGAGGCTTTCCATTGTAATATATGAAGCTGGGGTAAAAGAGGGTTCTGCTTGTAACTAAGGATGTTATGTATAATAATGTTGAAAGTTTGTTTTTTCCAGGTTAATATGTTCATGGGCTTCAACTAATTAAAATATTTATGTTATTCAAGTGCATGGTACTGCACTGAAAATAACAATGTCTAATTGTGTTTTTTTTCTTCTTCTCATTTGTTACCACTTTCATTTGTGTGTGTACCCTCCAGATATTGTACCAAACAAAATTGCTTATAGAGGGTTTATGCAGACTTCATGAACTAGAAGTGCCTGTTGAAATCAATGCCCTAGACGATGCCTTGTCCAAAAGAGTTTGTATTTTAAATGAATTTTAATATAAATGAGGCCCATTATTTTATTTCTTTAGTACATTTAATAATTTTAAATTCATTTGGTTGTTTTGGGAATTTCAGCTATTTGCTAGACCTTAAGTTAAAACCCCCTAAATCTTGGTACAGACATATTTGCTATCAAACAGCAGGTTTTAAGTACAGCTTTGATAAAATATCTGGCTTTATTCTTCACCACTGTGCATTTGTTTGTTTTTAGGGAATTGTTGTAAAGATGAATGTTGATCCAGTCTCAGAAGATGAAGATGAGGATGATGAATTTCACTATGACATGGAAGAGGAGACCCACAGGTGAGTTAATGAAAACTATTTTTATTCCTTTTGTAGTCCATTCTGCATTGTATCAGCTGGTCCTTTTTTTTTAAAGACTAGCAAATTATGCTGTAGAGCACGGGTGGCCAACACAAATGGTTTCGCTGGAAATTAGTGTAAGTGAAATCTTCACAGGCCATGGGTCATTACACAGTATAAGTTAAATATGTTCCAGACAATCCCTGCACTGAATTATTTATTTATTTTTATGCATGTAATGAAATGGCAAAAGCAGAGTAAAAACTAAATCATTGTCATAATTGATTATTATTTTTTTCCTTACTTAACTTCAAAATCTATTTCTTTGTTTTTGTAGCACATCTTTACTGATTTTGTAAGTTTTCATCAAATAATAAGAACAGGATTTGCTTTTTGTGAATTTCCTTTTTTTTTAAAAATGTAACATGTGAAACGAAAAGCATTTATAATTATTTTTGCTAAATATTGGGATTTTTTTTTAATATGATGAAGATATTACATGAGTGTTTTATACATTTAATTTTGTTGTTTTAAAAAATGTGCTTCAGCTCTGTATTAAACAGTAGGTTACCATTGTAAACTAGTTATCCCGCTTTACCTATCTGGGTTTTAAAATTACATACCCCAACAGACCAATATTTTCAACAACCCCCCCCCCTTAAAATGATTTATAATAAAAGCTACTAGACTTTTATTGTGATGATGGATTGACTTCAAATTGTGCTAAAATGTGTGCTATGGATAATAAACAACAAGCCTTAGCCCTTATTAAAATCAAGAGGGTTAAAGGGACCATCTCCTATGCTGTGGTAGACTGATGCTAAGACAAGTGCCCCCCCCCCCCCCCCCCCCCCCTAAAAATAATAAATCTTCAAATCGCCCCCCTCCCCCCCCCCCTTCCCGGTGATACAATTAATAATAGTAATGGACTACTAACACAAAAATTTAGATTGAGTTAAATAAAATTGTATTACCATTGACTTTTGTTTACTTGTTGGTCTGTTTGTGTACATTTTGCACAGGAGCCCAGGGACATGGATATTTAATGATCAGATGCAAAGTAGTGATTCCATTTTAAGATTTTCATGAACATTATGGACGTTATCATCACTTTGAAATGAAAATGTTCTAAAATTTTGTTATATTCTTTTAGCTCTATTTCATGGCATATTCTGAAAAATTCTAGCTCGTAATCAAACTGTTCAACAAATTGATTTAATATTAACTTTAAACATTTTCTTTTCCATTTTTTAAAAATGATTCATTCACCCATTAATGTACAGTTATCACATCTACCAGTGCTGCACAGGGCTACATGGGCTGTAGTGTAACTACACCCACTGCAGTTGTTGGAGTTAGTGTGTCGTACATCTAGTACAGAGTATAAAAAGATTCCAAAGTTTACAGTTAAATCAATGCATTAAATGAATGGTAAAGATTTCATTGAGACATAATAACTCTGATTGTTTTAAAAATAGAAGTAAAATTCATTAATTTCAAATTTCCATTCATAAAGAAAAAATGCAAAGAAACTCAAATGATGACAGAGAAATTTTATTTGTGATACATCAGTCGGGTCACATTACTTCACCTGCCTCGCTGTGGGTTGGCCATCCCTGTTTTAGAGCTTCATTGAACAAAACAAATAGATACATACGTTATAATTTGAATTAGGTCGTGAAATTAAATTTAAAATGTTTTATGGTATATTTATCTCTTAAAAATTATGTCCCATGTAACTAAATGTAAGTGGTCTTAATTTTTTTATTTCTTTTTCTCACAAAGTCAGGGTTTAGAGTATATTTCCCTTTTGTGAAAAACCAAGTTGTAAGCCAAAGTTATAGTCATCAAGAGACAGTGACATCAATTTTTTTAATAAGAAACTACATTCCTAGAAGTTTCTTTCCTAATACTGATCATCTTGTTTTGATTTGTTTTTGCAATCTGCCTCTTTGACTTTCATATCCTTTTAGGTTGTTAGCTGCATGGTTCCAGTTTTGCTTTAAGACATATTCTTGTTACAATGACAATTTTAAAAATTAACCTTTAAAAAAAAACATTAACCAGTACTGAACAGAAAGCTAAAGAAGAGGTGGATGGCATTGATGTTGAGAACCTTGCTGTCCTAGAGCGATTAAAACAGAATCAAAGGCAATCTTATCTCAAGGTCTGTATTCTTATGCAAATAAATCTTTTGGGTACACAGAAAATTGTTTGCAAGTCTACATATATATATATATATATAAACAAACAAAATTTATATGAATAAATCCGCTCCGTTATTTTTGTTTCTAAAATTTTATAAACATTTTTAATCAGATAAGTGACAAGTTGTTTTTTTTAAATTGCTTTTACTCTTTTTTTTTTCTACACTACAGGGCTCTGTTGTTGGATCAGTGCAGGCTACAGACAGACTAATGAAAGAGCTGAGAGACATATACAAATCTGACAGTTTTAAAAAGGGTAACTAATGATAATAATTATTTTATGAATAAAATTTATAAATTATATGTTTGATCTATTGTTTCAGGAAATATTTAATTTGGTTGGTTTCTGTCTTCCCTCTTCCAGGGTTATAGTTTTTTTTATTCTGTGCTTTTCTCTTCCATAAGAAAATCAGCCTAGCTTAGCTTTTGAGTGATTTCAATAAGCCAATAGTCCATAGCGCTGGACAGTTCCAGTAGCCTGTTGATATCTCAACACTATTGTCTTTAGGTCTCATCCAATTTTTGTATGTTTTATTTAAGAAAATAGCAGCGTTACAAAAAAATAAACATAATTTAAGGGATAAAAAAAATTAATTTTTATGTATTAATTGTTTAGTTATTTAAGTGTGAAAATCATAGTTCTAATCATAATTAATTTTTATTTCATGTTTTTAATGAAAAATTATGAATGTTTTTTTTTTTTTTTACTAAATAGCATGTTTTATAAATACAATAATTTAATTCCAGACAATTTGTTTAATCCACAGAGACATACACAATTGAACTAGTCAATGATTGTCTATACGAATGGAATGTACGATTAAAAAAGTAAGATTATCTTTTCCTATAACGGGGTCACCAAACTGCGATCCGCTGGCGGTACTTGAACTTGCTTGATAAAACGTATGGAGCATGAGACGTGATACAATTTAAATATTATGTTTAGAATACAAGGATATCTTCACCCGTGCTGAGACCTCCTGGCTGCTATGCGCCTTAAATTTACCTTTTTCAATTTTTGTATCTAGATTTTCTTGTTTATTACAGACCTCTTTACCCTCAAACTTCTAAAATCTTACAATAGCATCTCAAAATTGTACAATACGGTATCTTAATAGTTAATAAATTAACATACAGTATGTATAATGAATACAATAACTACTCGCATCGCAGTGCCTAGTGGAATCGAGTTAAACCGGCATCAAAAAAGCTAACTACTAAAAATATATGACCAACGTTTATAATACAATCTGCTGTCACTTTTTTTTTTTGCAGACATGTATTTGCTATTGATATAAATATATATATATATTGAAGAGACATACAGATCACATTATCACAGTCTGTCACTGGTAAAAATAAAGTTACTAGTAAAAGTTAACGTGATTCAAACTCAAACTGAGAATAAAACAAGATGTATTTAAATAAGAATGAATTAACAAATGATGACATCATTTAAAAAATCTACCAAGTAACTTGAGGTTGTTGTTTTAAGTAAAGCTGGTTTTAAAAAAATGATAAAATAAGAATCAATGTCCATCAAGCCTATTCCCGCTATATATATTATAGTCTGATATCTACCACAAACTGTAAATGGGTGAAAGGAAGAGGAGTGTTGGAAACATATGGGGAAATTAAAAATCGTAGTCGCCGTCGTTGGAACTAACAGCCTTTCAGCAAGTTCAGTTTTGCGAAGAATAGAAGAACTTGGAGGGAATACAGTGCTACAGATACGTGAGAAAGCTAGGAACTTGTGGTGGTACTCTCTAGCACTGGATAAGTCTACTGATCTCTCACAAATTCTCGTGTTTATTTGCGGTGTCATTTTGGACTTTCAGATAACGGAAGAGTTGGCATCTGTTTGCAGCATGCATGGAAAAACTTTTGTCTGTGAGCAAACATTTTCGAAATAAAGTATGTGAAGTCAACACATCGAACGAGAGGGATTGATGAACATTTGAAAACAATTCTTTTGATTGGATGCAGCAATTCCAAACCAAAAATTAATTACTATCTTGAAAGCCAAACGTCAGTTTCACAAATCTCACTAACCTTTTTTACTGCTTAGTTTGTGAGATTCGAATATGTGCGCACTAGGACTGATGTAACTATCATTTTGCTAACACCGCTTTCTTTGATAACTTTTATATGTTGGTTGTCTTTTCTTTTTTTAATTCCACGCCATTCACCCATAATTAACATGGAATAATCAACTTAGTTTTTCGTCTTTTTTCCCAGAGCTTTTTTTGTGGCTTGCAAGTATTGTTTCCGTTATCCAGCATGCCGTGAAAAAAGTTTGGTGCCCCCTTTCCTATAACAAGCAGCTGTCATTAGAGATTAAAATGCATATTTATTTTGATACTTGTCTTAATTTGAATGTGTGCAGTATTCATATGTGATAATTTAATTAATTAACAACAAGACACAGACATTAATGGTCAAGACTTTGGCTTGATTTTGGTAAAGATTTTGGTATAGAAAATATCCTTGTGTTGAACTTAACTATATTTTTTTAAAGTAGCTGTTCGCTTTCGTCTCTGCGGAAGCATCATTATAAAGATACACTTTATTCAAAAGAGACTTTGAAACATGACTCAAATAGAAATTTATTGTAACAAATACAGCTCTCATCCCAGGGTGTTATATTTAGAGCATGTTATAGTTTCCTTTAAAATTTTAAGAAGGTGCAATTATATATGACTGAATATCCCCTTCTTATACAACTTTTACAGTTTTTGGAATTTAGAAGTTCTTATCTGGAATGTAAATGACTTTTTAAAGCTAAACATTACTTTTCCTTTTTGAATGATTTTATACTCGAGTATTTCCATATTCGCATTGCTTGTTATTTCTTATTGCTAAGGGTGGACAAAGAAAGTGAATTGTACAAAGATATGACAGTTTTCAAGGAAAAGGAAGGAAAAGACCATATACTTCTCAATTTCACGTTCAAAGTAAGCTTGTACTTTACTTTTGTTTATGCATTTTTGAAATATCCATCTTTATAATATTCTAATACCATGTTCTTCAAATAGTTAATAAATATATACCACAGCATAGAATAAAACAGAAATCAATGTCAGATGTAGCCTCTGAAGAGTAACACAACCTACCAGACAGACAGAAGAATTACAAATCATATCTAAAGACTAACCCCTAACCAACGTTGTAAACAGCTTACATCAGGACAGATCTAATTGAACTGACAGAGATTCATAACCCATTACATTTAATGATAGTTGCAGAAAAAGCCATAACCACGTGGCGTTCTCAGCAACATTTATGAAGCATAAGCAACTGCCATTAAAGCATCATTACACCACCTCTCTGCAATTTTCTCAGCTTACTCCAGAAAACAAAGCAATGTCATTAACTTCAATTGCCAGTCAATAATTCAAGCAGTTGAGCACACGAAGAACTTACAACACATAGCAGCAGTAGTTCAGCGCACCAAGATCTTACAATACACAGCTGCATTTGAACACACCAAGGACAACGGTAACATTAATACTTATGAAAATCAACACCTTCCTTTAAATGGTAACCTCTGCAGTCAAGCTGACCTTACAATTACAGTGGACACCAGACATCACAATGTATTAGGAAATGAAAGAGCAGGCAAAATAGCAAAACAGGGAGCATCCAATGAACAGCAAAGCAGAGTCGCATAGCTCAGCGCTGCCAGTCAGAGCTAACAAAATAGAAGAGCGATTAAATGAATGGGCCGTGAGCTCAATAGGAAGATGTTTGTTTACATACATGACCAGCCCAGATCCTCCATTCCAGTTAATGCCTCCTTTGGCCTGCCCATAGTACACATACAGCTTATTTCACACCTTAACCAAATGTAACCAGATAGAACACCTATATGCCCCATCTGCAGACATCCAAATGAGACAGTAACATGTCACCTCTTTCACTGCACAGCACTCGATTACTTATTCCTTACTGGCCTACTAAAAATATCAGACTACACCAACACCTTATAAACGGACAAAGAACAGCTGATGAGAGTGTGCACATTTTTCACCACATGAACAGGTCAAAGGGCAACTACCCAAATGGCTTCTGGATATGTGTTATGATACATTTTACATTAATTTTTACTTATTTGAGTGACTTGACAAATTTATTTTACATCTTTCCCATACGTCCTGTCAAAATGTGGCACCCCAAAAATGTGGCACTCCATTTAAAAGGGTTGACCAGCCATAAATGTCAATGTTGAAATGAAAGTACTGTCAATTAATTTTATTTTACTGGATTATTTTATTGTAGCATATAAATATGCCACATTTAGTTTACGTTTAGTCTTAATGTTATCTTAGAAAATGTTTTTTTTTTTTTTTTTTAGGAAACCTTTCCTTTTGACCCACCATTTGTAAGAGTGTTTTGTCCTGTNGAGTCGGTTATTTTATAAATATCAGCAAAACTGGTCAAGGGGAAGGCCCGCATCCAATTTGGGGGAACAAAAGTAAGCCTTATTACATAACTTCAAGTTATTTAATTTTTAAAGAAGCTTTTTTTTTTTTTTTAAATCTCTCAAAACATAGAAATTATAAGTAATGAGCATATTTTAATATCCACAGAATGTGACCATTTTGAGCTTTATATAGTATAGAGTAAAAGGATAATTTGTATATATATGTATATAGATGACTCCTACTTACAGCACTTAATACTTACTTTTAGTTTAATTATTTGCCAAAGGCTTCAATAGATGTGTTATTATTTTGTGTAAAGGTTGTAAGTTGTATGAATTAACTAAATGAAGTATGATCATTTTAGAGCTGAAAAGAAATGGCTATTTATGTTTATTTGCAAGGCTGTTATTTAAATATATGAATGACCTTTGTTAAAGTCATAGGCTGGGGTAAAATATCAAATGGTTAAAGTTCTAATATCTGCATCTCATCAAGTAATGATTGTTAAAACAAAAATTGTTGTCTTTTTATGCAGAATCAATATACCCTGGCAAGAGCACAACAGTCTTTCAAATCTTTGGTTCAGATTCATGAAAAGAATGGTTGGTTTTATAGTGTTTGTTCTCCAACATTGTCTCATCATTTTCTTTCTTGACAATAAGCTTGTAAAACAGTGACCAGGCAAACATTAAAATGCAATAATAATTATAATTTACATTTTATTCTCAAAAGGCTTGGTATTCTCAATAACTAATTGGTAATTAGTTTATAATTTTTTTTTTTAAAATACAATTATTTGCATGCTTTGTTTTCACTTTGTTTTAAATAAACTATTTCTCTTGTATTTATTTTGTTAAAAATATGTATTGTTTTTTGTTTTGTTTTTTCAGGTTGGTTTACACCACCTAAAGAGGACGGTTAACATTTTATTCTTTTTTTTTTTTTAATATAAAGCTGTAAAGATTATGTGTACATAAATTTTCTGTTGATATTTCACAGTGTACATTTTGTGTGTGCGAATGTGAACAATGGTATTAATGCTTATGCACACAGTCATTGTGGGGAAAATATTGTCATAACATCATATGTAATATTATATTGGAATAAAATTGTGAAAGGGGTGGCTAGAATATGAACTATTTAAAAGTTTAATCAGCCTTTAATGACCGGAGTGCTGTTAGTTTTTTTCTTTGTTTTTTTTAAACAAAATCTCCAACCTTGGGTCTGATCCTTATTGCTCCTAATGAGAGGTATTTGAGAATGTATGTAGTTTTCATCATGTGTCATGTTTTTTCAGGGTTAACTGCTATGTTGGGATTCGGCCAAGTTATCTCATTTCATTAGTACGACTTCTTGACATTTTTTTTCAAATTGCATAAGTTGCACCTTTTTTTTTTTACTAATAAAAAAACTGGAGAAGCTGTGTGAATTTCATTATAAAAATTATTAAAAAAAAAATACAAATGGAAAGTTTAGTGAACTTAGAAAACATGCATTTATTTTATTTTATGTATTGATATGAGGAAAATAAAGGTGGTTGGGAGAACGGGTAAACTTTCAGAAATCTCTATTTTACTTTTATTTTCTATTATTAAATTAAGGAAAGAATAAAGAACATTTGAACCGAGAGGCTTCAGAAGCACATTTATAAAGCTTCAACTTCTTGTCAACTTAGATATTTTGTTTTAATAGAGCTACTGAAATCTTAACAGCTGCGGACTTTTAATCATTTAATATAAAAAGGGTCCCAAGTTGTATATGGTTATGTGTGTTGTCAGAATTTAAGCAATATACAACTTTATTACATAATGTATCAGTTTTACGGGAATAGATTGGTGGTTGGGGGGGGGGGGGTTGTTGTGATGATGGCTACAGGGGTGTTAAATCTCTTTCCTCCCTATATTGATTTGTGTTGTTTTGGAATGGCATTTTCTTACAGGAAACTTCGAACATAAATCGGTCAGTTTTACGGGAATAGATTGGTGGTTGGGGGGGGGGGGGTTGTTGTGATGATGGCTACAGGGGTGTTAAATCTCTTTCCTCCCTATATTGATTTGTGTTGTTTTGGAATGGCATTTTCTGACAGGAAACTTCGAACATAAATCGGGTATATTATCCTGTTAGTTTGCAAAATTTTAATTTCCATAATTGTCTCCTTTCTCTACAAGGGTTTCATTTTGGCCAAAACTCTGGAACTTCTTTTTAACTACTTTAAAGACCATTGATAAACATATTATTTTTTTATGGCCTAATGTATGTGCACAAGGATATGGGCGTATTTGAAACTGCCAGGCTTTATTTCTATAAATTATTTAAGTTACAGTTGCTACAGCCTGCTACAGTTTTGTTTATTTTTCTATGTACCTTATTTGTAAAGAAATTATTGTGAGCATTTTCATTTTAAAGGTTTGTTTTCAACAATAATGTCTTTAATTTTTCATCAATCATGTATTTACAATATGATACGTGAGACTAATTCCTCTTGATTGAATAACCTATCTGTATTTGAACAAATTAAATAGTTGAAATCAATAGCTGTTGCTTTTTATTACAGATGTTGATTATGGCAGGATATATCGGCTGATGTTTTATCAATGCACCTTTGAACTACTAATCTGCCAGCTTGGCTGGTTTCACCTAGAACACCCAACTGAGATGTAAAACTAACATTTTTTTTATCATAAGGGAGTCTTTGAATTAATTCTAGAGCTTTGCAAGCAGTGAATCTCCAATGAGGGGCATGTTTCTGGGCCGCTTGTCTCAGTCATAGTAAGAAATAGGCGAATAGGCACTAGAAAATTGGATCGAAATAAACTTAATCGGGCTGTAAACATGAAACAACTTGCTAAATCACAAAGACTCACCAGACACAGCAAGGTGAAACCAAAACTTGACACCGCTTCAAATTTTAAAAAAATTACCATTAAATCGTGATGCTTACGGGACAGAAACGGAAAATCTGTGAGCCGGTACAGTCTGCTCAAGGGAGTCAAAGAGTTAAACTTATATGATCAAAATCAGGAGAAATTCAACACTGAATTCAAACACTATACAATAAAATAGCATTATATTATGAAATAGCTCTAGCCACATGGTCATACAGTAATAGTCATAGGATGTTTGGGTTTTTTAGCTTTGTAAATATATTTTTTTAAACGTTCATAAAAAAATGTTGTTTGTACATTTAAATTATGGCGATTTTGAAAATGTGTCCTTAACTTTTATATTTTGAGTTGAAAACCCTTATGGTGGGAGAGGATCCATGGGTAACTATGACAGTAAAAAAAAAAAAAAGAACAACCTAATAGTAAAACAATGAAGATACAAGAATTGGAAAGCAGTTACACACTAACTGGTAGTCCATTATTTTAAGCTATTAACAATGTTTTATTTTATGAAAATTGGCCCAAAGCTTTTCCAAAGTTACTGCCTGTTTTCTTAATTGAAAAATGGATTTCATTAAAAAATTTTCCAACCCTTTAAGAGAACAAGCACAATAAATAAAACTATTTCTTCTTCTTTATTTTGAGGGCCCACGATCAATGAATTGATCATTCTGGCTCTTTTAACGAAACAAGTGGAAAGTGTTGTCTATTTGTCAAGACCTTTCTCAAATAGGGATCTTAGCCAATTACTTAACAATAATAGAAATGGTAGTAGCTATAACATGAAAGTTTTTGTCAAAAAGAATTCAAATATGCAGGTTTTTCCTTGGATAGAGTCTTCACTCATGTCTGAGCTTTTTTTCTTTGGTTTAATTTTTATTGAATGAAATGATTTTGAAAGAGGAAATCCAATAGATATGAATAATTTCTATAGGAACCTCTGACATTTTATGTTTTTCATCAATTCTTTTACTTTCTATAGAATATGAGCAGTGGTGAAAGCTGTTGATGGGTTTTTTTTAAACAAAGTCAAATATATATTGGTATTTTCTCTTTGCCAACAAAAACAAAATAAAATCAATGCAGTATGTAATTTTCTCTTTTTTTTCTCTTTTTTTTTTTTTTTTTTTTTTTTTTTTTTTTTTTTTTTTTAAAGACCACTTACCTGAAACATGCAGCTCCATTTTCTTTGTTCAGAGCTTGATTAACCATGCAATAATAAGAAAGTCCAATTGGTTGGCCACATGTATACATTTCTTGTGTACATATTTTATTTTGTTAATCATTTTTGTTTTTCAATTGTTGATTATGTTAATATAAGACTAATGAAAAACTTCCCTTTTTTTTAGTCAAATAACTTAGCAGATGAAACATTAAAATACAGCCTTAATGTCCACAAGGCAGAAAAAATAAAGCCATATAAGATAACAGTTCTAGTACAATATAATATAATATATACATAAACATACTCATATTTGTAATCTTGGATGAAGATTACAGTTTTATTTTTTAAATTGGTTTTGGTATTAAATAAAAGGCTCACACTTAATTTCATGCAAATTTAAATACACAGTTATTAATTGACCTATTTGAAGAGAATTTAAACAGGAGGTGCAAATTAGTTTTAAATCAACTGTTGCTTCATGTCTTTGATAAAAATGTTAACTCTGAATGAAAATACATTAACAATAACATGTTCCTTGAAGAAGGCGTCTTGCTGACACGTTTTTTTTTGTTGCTTCCTTTTTTAGGTTGTCCCATGTTTTGTTTTACTCATTTTCTTGAACCTAACCTGATTGCAGTCTCTCACCCCTTATTACCATTCAATATTAAATACAAGTTTTCAATTTAAAAGTATGCTTCATATTTTTATATATTTGATACCGGTACCTACAATTCTAGATTGGGAAAGTAAATAACATACTTACTACTTTTATTACAGTTTTAAGTTCAAATTTTAAATATCTGCGGTGATCTTTCTCTAGGGCTAGATAATCTGTAGAGCAGCGTGGGCAGCATGGGGCAAGGTGGGCAGTGGGTACAGGCACTTTGGTCTCAATTTGAGAGGCTTTTATATATCATCTGCTAATCATTGTATAAAGCCAGGGCCCATGAAAGGATTTTATCTGACTCAATCTGTATCATTACAGATAATCTGGCCCTATCTATATCATTCAGAATGTGACTCTGATAACTTATTTTTCTTCTTCATTAGAATATTAGGTCTAACCTTAACAAATTTGAGCAAATTTGGAAAAAAACACTTCATTTAAGTACTGTTCCCCCTTCTAATCCTCTTCCAATCAGCAGCAACTCTTTTTGCCATATTCTATCATTGATCATTTTTCCGCACCCACGCCCCACCTTGGCCAAGAATGTGCCTGTTGCTATCACAATGTTAACATTTTTGTTTTATTCTCCATTATTGACACATTTTTTGTGTGCATGCTTGATTATTTTGTTTATGGTGGTATGGAGGCATATATACCAAAACGTGGAGGCATATATACCAAAACGTGGAGGCATATATACCAAAACGTGGAGGCATATATACCAAAGCGTGGAGGCATACATACCAAAGCGTGGAGGCATACATACCAAAGCGTGGAGGCATACATACCAAAGGGCTATAACTTCAGTTGTTCTTGTCACTTTGATGATTTTTGTCCTCTGTGTCATACTCATGGTCTTGTTAGATCATGTTAAAAAAAAAAATAGAAAAAATCTTTAGTTGGGGTGGTGGTGGGGTAGCTTGATGAAACTTAGCTTTTCCTTACATGCTTTTGGTTCAAAACTAAGTTTGATTTCTCCATAATAGATTTTGTATTAAAATAAAAATTTAACTTAAAGTGAACATTAAAAATGCTGTCTTGCGAGTTTTTTTGGTTTTGTTACATAGGAGGTAATTTTATATTGAGGAAGGAAGGGCAGTTGATTCTGTGTTTTGCTTGGAAATTTGTAAAACCTGATATCTAATTGTATGTTATCAGACTAACACTCGAGTAGTTTTGTGTTTTTTTTTAATGTCCAGAGGCTTCCCAGACAGAACAGATCCCATTGACATAATGAGATCAGAAAACGAATAGCATGAAATCTACACATTTAAAATAATTTTCTTTAAAAAATGTAACTCAAGTAAACCCTAGATCAGTTTTACTTATTTTTTTTAGATATTAGTTTTTTGTACCAGTACAAGCAAACAAAGTAAGTTTTTCCTGCATAAATTTGTTAGCTCAACTTGATTAAATGTATGTTTCTTTCTCTTGATTCATGAAACATCATTCTATGGATGTCTAGGGCATCAGTGCAGAAAGTCCACAGGTTGCAGAAACAAAGAACATTTCGTAGCAGCCAAAATATGGTGGGTTTTCTCTCCATCACTTCATTTCCTATAAGTCATTTTAAATACCAATGTTGATACATTATCTGCAGACTCTCTGATCTCTGTGGCTTGTATTCACCATGATTGGTTGCATCTCTGGCACATGGCATCATTGGAAACCATGTGCTCAATAAATTATTATTCATTTTGGACTGATTTTGTTATGTATTTTGAGAGTGAAAGAGGATAAATGCTTCTTGAACCTGGAGATCTATACCGGTGGTTCTCAAACTTTTACCGGCCACATCCCCCCCTTGGTTTGATAAGCTCGTCCAGAAACCCCTCACCCGCCTATTTGGAACCCAATTATACGCATTTTAAGCATACATTTTTCACGCTCTTGGAAGAAAACTACCATTTTATTAATTCATCTATAACAGTGGTTCTCAACCTTCCTAGTGCCGCGACCCTTTAGTACAGTTTCTCGTGTCGTGGCGACCCCCAGCCACACAGTTATTTTCGTTGCTACTTCATAGCTGTAAGGATATGTGTTTTCAGGTGGTCTTAGGCGACCCCCCCTGGAAAAGGGTCCCGCGACCCACAGGTTGAGAACCGCTGATCTATAAGCTGAATAATTGAATCAAGCGATGATACCCTTCATCAGCTTATAACTGAATCAATAAAATAGTAATTATCTTCCGAAAAAGGTTGGTAAAAAAACTTCTTAGTAATGTAGTTATTTTTCAAGAGTTTTAGATGTCTAACATCCTCAATGTAATGGATGCATCAGCTTAGTAATGGTAAACCTGACATTATGTCCCCTGGCAGAAACTTCATTGGCTGTGTTCATATTTAATTTATAGGATATTGATAGCTCTTAGCTTTGAACCAAGTGAGTGGAACTCACTGAAGTCACCTTCGACCAAATACAACAATGGTATCATTGCGTGTCACGCTGAAGAGAAAATCTGGTCTCATTCCATTGCAACTGCAAAATTAATTATCAGCAATGGCGTGTGTGATGTCTTTTAAGGGGTTACCGGAAATTTGATCGAAAGAAATTTCGTCGACGGTAAATTGATCGACGGAAATTTGATCGAACGGAAACTTGGTCGAAACTATTTTTCAGTTCACACGTTAAAATTTTCGTCAAATTTCTTTTTAAACGCACACTATTCTATAGTAAAACAAACTATTGCGTTCAAAAAGAAATGTGAAGCAAAAATTTAACTTAGAAACTGGAAATAAGATTCGACCAAATTTCCGTTCGATCAAATTACCGTCCATCAATTTACCGTCGACGATATTTCTTTCGATCAAATTTCCGGATACGCTTTTAAGCAATGTGATGTCTTTGGGTTCAACATCATGAGAACTATTTTCCCCAACGAACATCGTGAAACAAGCAGCAATTGATAACGCTTGGCATTCTTCATCTCAGAAAAAGCAATTAGACCATCAGTTTGAGCGTGTTCTAATTTAATTTACTGCATAAGATCTGCAGTAATTAATGGCAATGAAGTTTTTAGCTACCAGATGCTGGCGATGAATGACACGAAGAATGAGAATGACATTTGGCACTGTTCCCCCCCCCCCTCTCGCAAGGGCAACTACGAATGATTAAATTCAGTCATATTAAAGCCATTCATTATTAAAGTCAGTCATAATTAAAGTTGACTTGGCTTTGGCTGGAATTGAACTCCAGACCACTAATTTGAGATGTGCTCAGCTTAGACCACCCAAGCACCCCGGGTGGATGGGACTCGTCAACCTTGGTGGCAACTCATCTAAGAGAAGGAAACTCTGAATTCAAAACCCGGAGATGGAGTCCCGTTGGCGGATAACATTGGTACAATGAAACATTCCGACAACTCCTGCGACGCCACTGGTGCCAAGCTGTATCATCCAATTGATGTTCCCTTGGGTTATCCAGCTGCGTGGAGAGAAGCGATTTGCTGTTGGGAACCAGCTCATAATCCTAGAGAATAATCCCAGGCCTTGTGGATCTCGTCCTGCGAAATCTTCACCATCGTCACATTGTGACGGACAGATGCCAGCATAATTAAAGTCAATCAAATTAAAGTCATTCATTATTAAAGTCAGTCATAATTGAAGTCAGTCATAATTAAAGTCAGTCATTATTAAAGTCAGTTATTATTAACCTCAGTCAGATTTAAAGTTAGTCATTATTTAAGTCAGTCATTATTAACGTCCGTCATTAATAAAGTAAATTATTACTTAAGTCAGTCATTGTTAAAGTCAGTATTTGACGATGCTATAGAGAGCTTGTTTACATAATATTTCTCGTGCGTGCCCTCTGATTGACCCCGCATGAGACGCTGTGTTCACAAAGGGGTGTGGCTTAGGCTTTTGATGTATTTCTTGTTTACACCGCCAACTACTAAAAATAATTAATCTGTTCCAAGTAGTGTTTTGTAGAATGAATCTGATGGTTCTAGAAATGCCATGTAGCTTGTAGAAGGCAGGGCTTAGACGTCGGTAGACCCACCTATATAAGGGATTGACAGGCACGGACGAGGGACGGAGATTTCAGATAAATTTTCTTAACATTACGAGGCGTGTTTTATTCTTTGTGTATTTGTGAGCTTATATGTGTTTATTTCGCATTATTTATTGGCACATTATTCTAACTGTGTTAACTGTGTACCGGTACAAGATCTACCATACTGTAAGTTGAAGATTGTAATTATATTTTTCTTTTCTTTTGTAATTATCTTAAGACATAATAAATCTTAATTAATTGTAAC